GTCTAACTGGAATTCAGCCAAGACAAGTCAAAATTATCCAGAAGAATATTAGCAATAGAAATGTTCATCTACTCTCATTGACAATGAACTTCTATGGGTATGTTGTGCCTCGAAGTATTAGCTAATGATATTATGAAGCCATCATGATTAGCAAGACATTTAAAAACAAAGCCTTCAGAATAAAAACACAAGACTTTATTGAATTTCTTTGGTGGGGGTTATTTTTTAAAAACATATTTTATATAATTTTGACCAAATTTAATAATAGAACTATGAAGCTTTTTTGAGATTTCTTAATATATGGGAACTATGGGGTGTCCCCCAAGATGTATACACATACTTTGTGAATAATTATAAAGGCAGTATTTATTAAAATACATAAAGCCTTCATAATAAAAACACAAGACTTTATAGAATTTCTTTGGGGGTTATTTTAAAGACATATTTTATATAATTTTGACCAAATTTAACAATAAAACTATGAAGCTTTTTTGATATTTCTTAATATATGGGAACTATGGGGTGTCCGCCAAGATGTATACACATACTTTGTGAATAATCATAAAGGCAGTATTTATTAAAATACATTTCAAAATTGAGCTATCAGATGTTAATGTGTAAATACATTTTTGGGACACCCTGTATTTTATATTAGTGAAAGTAATAATACATGATATGTTATAAAATCTTAGAAATCAATACAATACCTAATTCCTTGGAATTTTGCATTATAAAGAATTCAATATGTTACTGTTAAAAATGTTTCAAGTTTCACAATTATGTAGTTTTTATGCCATCTCTGGCACTATAAAATGCTAATGCTGCTGTTACCTTTCTCCTGTCAGAGGTTGTCACCATTCAATCATCTTTTAGGGGCATTGCTTCATCAGAGCATTCTTCTGTAAGCTTGTGAAATTTCCCATTCAATGACTCAAAGACAAACTATTTAATATACACTTTGGAAACTTTGCCCATTGTATAAGAAATATTGCAGTGAGTATAAACTTTCTAAGAAAATCTTGAAGGAAAAATAGTAACCCACAAAAGCAAATAGCTTAAAATCTTAATATATTTGGTTTAGGTTGAGTTTTTGAAAAACCAAGAGGAACATCAATGACACATTCCATTCTTTACTTAAATATTGTCTATCTTCCTAATGAAATATTGTACTCAATCCCTAGTAAGAAAAATGGTGAAATATTATGATTTTGTAAAAGAACTCTCTTCAGTATAGAACTTTCTGATGATCTATCTATGTGCTTTCAGATTAATAATGCATCAGGACTGCTCCTGCTCTTTTTTACATGGGAAGTAAAAGAATTATTGTAGCACTGGTATCACAAATAAGAAACATTGCAAATCAGAATCTATAGAATGCTTAATGTTCAAATGCATTGACCTTCAACTTTCAGAAAACATTAATTTGGTTAATATCCAATCAAATGCTGTTTTCCTCATTTGCCGCACTACACATGAATACACCAGTGAGTGCACCTGCACATCCCACATTTCTCTCTTTCAGCATGAAGTATGCAGGTACAGATTTAGTTTTATGGTTGTAGAATTTTAAAGCATTTGTTTTTCACCCACAAGTTGCCCATTTGGAAGAAGTTTTTCTTACCCTATATCATTAATAAAAATGTTGTTGACATAGTGCTCTCTACTCAAGCTTACATCTTTGTTGTCATGGGCAGCCCCAGCCCTGATAACAATGCAACAAATAAAGTCAGTAGCAATTCACCAACCTAAAATAAGTGTACCCCAAATCAATGCCAGTTTACAGATAAACAAATATTTTGCACACTAATAAATAATGCTATAAATCTTGCTATATTGGATCACAAATAACTCCAACTGGATAAAATTGCTTGGCACGGGATTTCTTATTCTGCATGTTCATAAAAACAACTTGTTTCTGACAGCACTCATTCTTGGCAATTTACCACAGCTGTCAGCAGCCAATTTGTTCAGATTACTGCTCTGCATAAAAGTGCAACAATCGTGAGGATTTATTAGCTGATTATCGTAAAGGTGGCAGTCCGTCTTGCCTGCCAAAATGCAGGTGATCAGAAAGTTAAATAATTACCTGCAGATTAACATTATTTCACCTTCATTTGACATCTGTAGTTCAGTGACAGGCAGAATTTGCTGTTTAAACTTGCAGTATGATGTACACAACCCAAGCTGGTTTACTGACTACTCGGCATTTTATTGAGCACTTAAGTGCTTCAGAACATTCTGAATATAAAACCAAGGTGAACGGAGCATGGGCTTTAGAGTCAGAAGTCCTGGATTTGAGTCTCAGATCATCCAGTTTCAAAATAACTAGGCAACCTTTAAACCTCCAGCTGCCTCACTTTGTGCATCTGGAAAATTGTTGTATGAACCACCCTCATTATTGCCTAATGTTGAGCTGATGGTGTAACAGTGCCCTTTAGGTTGTAAAACATCATTATTGTTATTTAAATGGTGAATTTATTTTTTGCATAAAATTTAACAACCAGAGGACATTAACTGCCTAGATATCATAACATCTATGATATATATAACTTGATAAAGGTATAGGCTACCATTTTTTTCCTTCAAAAAATAATTCAGTACTTTTTAAGTATAAAGATTACTCAGGCACTTTCACATTTTAACTCATCAATTCTCCCCTTTTATATTCAAATATCTTTCCTCAATTATACTGAAGCATAAAGTATAATTGTACCTTCCACTAAGGCATGTTGCTCTAACTGCCTTTTCATTAATATCTGGTATCAAATTGAGTATTTATTTAGAGAAGGAAGAACCATAATTTTAAGTATTAAATCAAGCTTCAGATATTTACATTAAAGTTTGACAACTGTTTACTGAGTACCTATTATGTGCCAAATACTTTTCTAGGCAGATCAAAGATGCCATATTGGACAAAACACTCAAAATCCTCATGGAACAAAACCCACATAGAGCATACATTCTAGTGATGGGAAATAAAAGATAACATAAATAAAAAAAATGCACAGTATGTCAATTGGTGATTCTTCAATTGAGAAAACAAAGCAGGATAGGGGAGAGGGAATATTTAGGAAAAGGGGTTTCAAGTTTAAATAGATTTGGTATGGATGCCTCCCTGACATGACATTTGTGCACAGACCTAAAGGAGGTAAAGAAATATGGCAGGTGGACACCTGAAGAGTCTTACAGACGGAGGGAAGAGTCCTGAGGTGAGAGAGTGTTCAGTGTGCTTGAGAAATAGCAACGAGGCTAGCACAGCTCAAATTGAGCAAGGAACAGGATAGCAGAAGTTCAGGGTAGAGGGGTCATAGAGCCAGCCCATGAAGAGCATCATGAATTACCGGGAAGAGGAGTTAAATGATTTTACTAATGTTCTGTGGAATAAAAGTAATAAGATTAAGATAGCAAGTTGCATGTGACATTCATTCTAATTATCTTTATTTTTTAAATATATATTCTTCATTGATTTCAGAGAAGAAGGGAGAGGGAGAGAGAAACATCAATGATGTGAGAGAATCATTGATTGGCTGCCTCCTGCATGCCCCACACTGGGGATCAGCCCACAACCTGGGCATGTGCCCTGACTGGGAATTGAACCGTGACTTCCTGGTTCACAGGTCAATGCTCAACAACTGAGCCACGCCCACTGGACTCCAATTATCTTTTGGTCACTAAATATAGCTAAGGTTGTTACAAATAATGAAAATAAATTAATTATTCAAGGAAAATCTAGATAATATCTACTTGAAAAAGCTCACAGTATATTGAGGGAGACAAATATAGACACATAATTATAATAATATGTATTTAATATTAACAACTGTATACTGCTACTTAAACTGGTAGTTATCTAGAGAACAAGATAAACTTCAAGAAAAATCTGAGAATCGTGTTTCACTAGAGGAAAAAAAAATGCAACAAAGGCCTGCCCTTTTAAAAGGATTGAAATGTAACATACTATTTGGTTACAGTGGTGTTTTTCTCATTTCATCGTATAAGCTAAATATTAAAGGTTAACGAAAGCTAATCTTTGACCTCTCACTTTAAAATCCTGTGAAGGAAACAATATAGATCAGAATAACATTAGATAGATAGATAGATAGATAGATAGATAGATAGATAGATAGATAGAAAGAAAGAAATATGTTGGTTTGGATCCTGTTTTTACTTTTCTAGCAAAAAATTCTGTTTATTAGTATGCATGCAGTTCTTCAGGCTGTATGTTTACAGACTTGGAATCATGTGAACTACAATGAGGAAAGAATTTCCTGAACTAACAATCTTCTGTACAGCATCCTTTATTTCAGTATTGGCAGGTTTCAGTGTTTTGCTATAAAGACACATATAAAACTATCAAGAAATATAAAAATATGCTTTGAAGGTGAGAAAACAATTCATGTAACAAAGCAGGCATTCAAAGTGACTCTGTCTTTGTGCAGAAATGTCATGTAAGCCTCAGAATAGTCCTTTCTTCACTGCGTTATCAGATTAACATGGATCTGCCCCACTTAATGCTTCCTTCACTAAAACTTGGGAACTCTACCAATTTATGAACTCACAGGAGATTATAAAGACTCTTTGCCTTGCAGGGACTTTTAGGAAACAATGCATTTTATGGTCACAATATGCTTTATGAAAAGTAATATAATCTCAGATCATTTTACAGACTATGAATATGATCTTTGTTCCTTTAAGTATCTTATATCAAGTCAGATTCCTCTTTCTCAACTCCCATAACTTTTACGCACAATGTTTCTGACATCTGGAGAAAATTTCTGGATATCAAATTTGGATCGCCTGTCCATCAACTGGTCAAAACTGCCACCTACTGGTCAGTTTTCAAACCTAGTTTTCAGTTCACCCAAGCACAGCCTTACTATGATAAGATCCCTTCTTTCAAAATGGTCAGGATCATTTACAATAACCAGAATTAAAGCAAATGTTATTTTAACAAAATTCTCCCCCCTTAGGGTGAACCAAAAATATCAAATTGCACAAACCTGCCAATAAAATCATCTCTTTTCCCAGCATCTTTGTCCCATGCAGTGATATCGATAATTCCACCTCTTTCTTCATAGAGATGAAAATCAAATTGTTCTCTCCACTGAGGATTCAAAGTTTTGGGCATAATCTGCAAAACCAAAACAGTCATTATTGTTTCACCCATATCAGTCTTTAATACAATGTAACTTGAGACATTAAATCAAAATTTAGGTACTGTCTAGAAAAGCATGTGAGTGTGAGATTTGAACAAAAGCTTCCAGAAATACTGAAAATGAGTCATTAAAGATCACTAGCATCTTTATGGCATATTGTCTAAAAGGACCCTGAAGGATGTGTCTTGAAAACCAAAGTCACCTCCTCATCATCATGAATAACAGTTGAGAGATATGTATTACATAGAAAAGGCAAAAACATAGTCTATAAGTGAAATAGCTCACTCCGACACTAGCATTCATTTTACATAACCAGCTAATACACACAGATATAACTGGTAATAAAGAAAGATGACGATTCCCAGGGTTTCTTTTATTTTCTTACTCCCCTACACCTGGGGATTCTTGAGCTGAATACATAAAAAAATAAAGTTCTATGGGAAGAGGAGGAAAAACAAGTAGCTTTGGGGTGGCCAGGTAACTTATATCTTAGAATTAGAGCATTGATGTATCATCTCCATTTTATATATGGAAAAACCGAGACCTGGAGACGAAGTGACCCATCCTGGGTCATGATGTTTTAGTTATCTAGACTCTAGCTCAAGTCTTTGATTAGAGCTTCAGATCTCTTTCCCCAAAACAATATGCCAGAAATGTTTGTGAGTTAATATGAATATGTGTGTATATAATCTCCATGTTGCACATACAAGAAAGATATCTTATCTGAAGTGCAATTTTGTAACTTCCAGTATTCAGATAAGACACTGGGTGGAATCAATGAATCAAGTGACCCATACTGATGTAAAATTCCATTCCCCATTGGGTTAAACAACATTCACATTTGTTTCCCCGTTCTTTCATTTTAGCAGGAGGGCATGTGGTGGCTTTTTTTCTTTTTAATGTATGGGAGACAGATCTTCTGATGTGAAGACTCTGAAAGCAATGAAGTATGTTATGTGCAAAGGTAATGCAAATGAATCACAATTTTTAAAGTTCATCATCTGAAATTAACCAGCAATAGATCGTGGGAAGAAAGAGCAAAGAGCGACACGTGTCCATAGCCTGGTTTCATATTTCATACTTAAAGAGCAGAACTATAAAAATAAGTAATGTTTGAAGCCTACCAGAACATGGAAATGATGTTAATTGATAAAGGACAAGACAGATGTGGCCATAGGTACCTATTTTTGGAATCAGTAGTTTCTTTAAAACATGTGATTAAGCCCATAGCAGAAAAGAAGATGGCACTGGGTGGAAGCTATGATAATTCAAGTGACTCCTAACTGGGCTCGGATGAATGCCTATGATATTTTGGGGAGTGGTCTATCTTACTTATTTGGCCATAAAGTGCCTAAACTTTCAGTTTTCTTTTTTAGGATTGTCCTTCCTATCTGGTTTCCTTCAGGTCAGAAACGACGCCCTCCCCTTCCATGGGGGCACTCAGTAAGGTAACTGATCAGCGCGCTAGCGGTTTTCACTACCTCAGACAAGTAAGCTCTGTGATATCTAACTACTGATGAAGCTTCCTGGGCCAGAAGGAACCGAGGTAGGCTGTCTTTCAAAACTTCCTGAAAACAGTGATGTCAAGGCCAAGATATTCCCATGGAGGTAGAATGCGATTTTTAATACGAGATGGATGTGATCAATTGTCCCAAGCTGTCTATGAGGCTGATGTCTATGAAGCTGGTCATTAAAGAGGTTGAAATTGAATACAACCCAGATAAGACATGTGCCCCAAACATAACTATGACTTTGCTAATTATTATTACTCCTCTCATTAATATAACAATATGGTTATTTAATATATTATTACAGTGGGGGCTTGACTTACGAGTGTCCCGACTAACGAGTTTTTCGAGATACAGCCGTCTCTCGGCCGATTTTTTGCTTTGAGTTGTGAGCTAAAATTCGGGTTATGAGCCAGCTTCAGATACCCCACCGCTAGTTGACGCAGCGAACGTCACAGTGAATGCCACAACATCAGCCCAGCATCACGTGTCTCACTCGTTCACTTCTTGATTTGACATACGAGTAATTTGAGTTACGAGCTCCGTCACGGAACGAATTAAACTCGTAAGTCAAGGCCCCACTGGACTACTAATATAATTAGTATTACACAATATACTTATTACTACTGACGCTATTCTTCCTCTTCCTTCTGCTACTTCCACTTATTATTTATTATGGGTAAGGCAGTGCTCCAAGCCCTTTACATGTGTAACATATTCATTCATTCTTCACAATAACTTTATTAAGTAGGCACTATTTTAATTCTCATGTTTACAGATGGGGAAATTAGGGCATGAAGAGGCAAAGTGATGGCCATTTCTCACTGCTAGTAGCCACAGAGGGAATTTTGACTCTTTGTTCTCTAAATAAATTTTAAAACAACTTTCAATTTGCACTGGTGAAAATCAGTTTGAATAAAATGACTCAGAGTAATCTGCACAGATTGTTATGGCACGTAAAATGATGCATTTGTAGCACTGATACTAGTACTTGTTGCAATAATAAGAGCAGCCAATACTCTCTGAACACTGTATGTGCCAGGCATTGACTTAGGTTTGTTGCAGCCTTCTTTTTCTGAAAGATAGTTCCTACGTTTATTCCTGTGTTATAAATGAAGAAATTCAGACAGAGTGAAGTTAAGTAGTTTACCCAAGGTCCCACAGCACATAAAGTAAGAGATGCAATACAATTACTTGTCTTGTTTGCTGACATGATGTTCAAAGAAGTCCTGTAAAGCATTTTTTAAAAGTTTTTCATCTTCCAAAGCATAGCTATTAACTAACCACTGCTTTCCAAATATCGCCAGGAACACAAAGAGACATGTCACCTTGCTCTTATACTTCTGATGCCCAAGCCGGAACTTCACGTAGGGGTCACTCAACCCATTGGAATCCATGGCCTTGAGGTCTCGCCCCTCAATCAACGTGATACTGACTATTCCTCGCCAAAGATGTGATTTTCTGTGTACATCTGACAGACGTAAACTTTGGGTCTGAAACTTTTGGCAAAAGAAAAGAGAGTTAGCTTATTGTGTTTTAAACCAAAGTATCTCATTTGGCATTACCGTTTCCAAAGAGAGTTAGCTTATAGTGTTTTATACCAGAACACCTCATTTGGCATTACCATTTCCAATGTTGTAACAATTTTTCAAAAATAAAAATGAGGCAGTTATAAATTTTAAATAAAAATTATTTATGGATTATTTATTAATTATGCAATTATTAATAATATATTATCATCTCATGATAAAATTAAGGTTATGTAAAAATGGTGAGTGCTCAAAATAAAGTCTAATTTTTCAGCTCCTTATATTACAAGCTGTAGGTACTTCAAAAATACCAGAGAACATTTACATGTATCAAATATGCCTGTGTCAAGATTAGCATAAAATAAATATAAATATGAAATATAATATCCTCCACACTGTGATATTAATTTTCAATTATTTATGGATTTTTAATATCTTTTTTTCATGTTACAAATGGATTTTACGGGTTGTTTTAAGTTGTAAGGTTAGTTGTAAGTTCCAGTCACTTTTAAAAGTCTTTATTGCCATATTAAGAGTTTCAGCTCACTAAAGAAGTATTTAAGGTACCATAAAAGACAAGATCAATATGTCCACACAAAATGTCTTGCCTATGTTTGAAACTTGCAATACAAGTTTTAAAAATTACATATGTGACTTATATTGGCAGGTATGGTATGTTTATTTCTCATTCTAGTATTTAAATATTTTCTTTAATGTTTTTTATTATCCTCAATTCTGAGTCACAATATTCAAGTCAGTGAACCAAAGCTGAAATTATGAAAATTAACAAGTCTACTAAAGATGACTATATGTTCTCTTTGAATTAAATAGCTCATAAAACAAGCCAGAAAAAGTGGCTATATGTTAAAATCTTTACAATCTGGATTCAGAAACACAGAGACTGCTATTTTTTTCATATTGTCAAGTATGTTTTCTTCACTCATTGTCATTTCATGAAAAAATTCAATTTTTCTCTCAACTTCATATTATTCCACTTCTAAATTATGAATTAGCTCCATTTTTTGTCCTAATTCCTTCTATGTAACATTATAATGTTATAGCCTATTTTGTATAACTCCCCCTTCCACTTTGAATTCCTATTTTTATTCTACATCATAGTAATGCCAGACATTTTTATCTGTCATCATCAAAAGTCATGCATTTCAGGGGCTTTTATTAGGAAAATGAAAACTACATTCTTTAAAAGATAATACTTTTAATATTTGAACATTTCAGTGGAGAGCTTTCTAAAGCACATTATATACTTCCCTACCTTGGTGATCAGCAAATTTTGAACAACATTGCTTCATGGTTCCGCCTTATTGATAGCAACATGGACCTTGGCCTCCATATTCCTCACCTCTGTGAGATCCAAGAGCAGTGTTCCACTGCGTTCTGAAGTGCAACGCAGGTTCATGGGGCACCTGTAACTTCCACAGGACTCCATGCCCATTTCACCTAGAGCCCCACTGCTCCCATCTGTTTTACACATTGGATTGTCTTTGAATCAAGGATTTCTCAGATTAATATAATTGTTTAGAATTAATTGCACCAAGCGATCTTCAGGGTTTTTGTTTTTTTTTTGTTCTAAGATTTCATACTCATTATCTATATATATAAAAGGCTAATATGCAAAGTGTCCCCTCAGGAGTTTGACCAAGAGACCAGGAGTTCGATCGCTTGCTATGACGTGTGCTGACCACCAGGGGGTGGCGCAGAGCAAAGGAAGCCCTGGCCAGCAGCAGGAAGGCCCCAATTGGCCCTGATCGCCAGCCAGACCTAGGGACCCTACCCATGCACAAATTTTGTGCACTGGGCCTCTAGTCATTATATAATGCAGCAATAGATTTCAGCATCTGTCTGTCTATTCACCCTTCCCCTTCCACTACAGTTGAGACCGCCTCTGACAGTGGACTTTAAAGATAGGATTCTAAACTTTGAGTCTGAAACTTTTCTTAAAAAATAAGAATGACAAAGAAGGAAAGAAGAAAACGCATTTTTTAGCAAGCAAGAAGAAATAATTATCTTAGCGAAGACCAAGGAATTAATAAATACCCATTTATAGAAAGCTTTAGAATTTAAAAGTGCATATGTGTACATTGTGTCCTGTAGTTTCCACTAAAATCCTATGAAGCAGGAAGGCAAGGACTGCTATTCCCAATTTACTGGTGAGGAATTAGATGCACAAGAAGTTGACTTATGGGGTGGAAAGGACAAATAATGCTTTCCATGGGATGCTTCATTCTTTCCCAGAAATAAGTGGTTTGGCTAATAAATAGAGGATATGTGACTAGAACCCAGCATTTCTGACCTTTATTCCTGAGCCTCTCCCAATATTTGTCTTTAGGGCAGAGACTCTCTCCTGGTTTAAAAGTAATCATTTAAGTATAAGGTTGCTAAAAGGTCACCCCCCAGTTTAATGAGCTGAATATATTTGAAATTCCAGGCTAGATTTTCCTACATGGCTGATACATGAAATCACCTTCTACAGCATTATTATATAAGCACATGTATTCATACTTACAATATTCCAGCTGATGAATATATTTAATGACATTTTCTATGCACTCTAGAAGCAGAAGCCATACATAACACTCAGTAAAATAACAGTAGGTTACACAGCATCTGCAGTCAGCAAGGCTAAGTTAGGTTCTTGAATGGTACCATGTCTGAAACCCTTATTCGCATGCTCCTCCTCCCATTTTTCACATGAGAACAAGAACTTGACATGGAGTGGAAGGACAAAGAATACTTTCCATGGGATTCTTCATGTTTTCACAGAAATAAGATGAACTTAATGAAGGCTTTACCTACTCTCATTCATTGTTACAAAATGCTTTTCTATAACCTGGAAGAACATTTCCAAAACGACTTGGGGAGCTAAGAGGGAGGGGTAGAGAGAATATTTCTATACAAAAACAGGGTTACTGAATGCAGAGATTAACTTGATCTCTGTGAAAGGTTTAAAGGGCAAATAGGGGTGGGGCTCCAAAGACACACTAATCAGATATTTTTAAAAGTGATTTTTCCTTCTTCAACTTTCTTTGTTTAAATGGTACTCTTTTAAAAAGAAACTCCATTAATGTAGCTATGATTTGATTAACTGCATAGACATGAAACAGATAAGTAGTTAGTCTAAGTGGAAGAACTTGAAATAAAATTATAAGGTATGGGGGAAGAGATAAAGTTAGACTACCAACAGTAAAAAAGGTAAGTGCTTAAAATACATATACACATGCATCTTTCTAGCAATTTCTGACTATGTAACTTGGCATGCTTTCTTATCTATGGTTTTCCAGACTGTACTCCATGGCCCCAAGTGTACTAAGAGAGCAATTCTGTGTGTGTTAGGGGTAATGGTGGTTGGGGAGGGTGTGTGTATGTGTTGAGGGGCCTGCATAGAAAAAAAAATATATTCCATAAACAAAGATTTAACCTGCTTAAGATATCAATTTATTACTTTTACTTATATTTTTTAGTTGAAGTTTTGGAGAGCTCATCAAATGGGTGGGGACAAGTGGAATTCCAAAACTAAAGAAAGAAAAACCTTTGAGAACCACTTGGTCTCCAAGGTACCTCTGAGTCTACTTGCTGCTCTGTTCAGGTTCCTTCCCCTGTATAGCAGTTCTCCAAGAGTAGTCCATTGACCAATGGCATCGGTGTCACTTGGAAACTTGTTAGAAATTCAGATTCTTTAGTCCCATCTCAGACCAACTGAATCCAAAGCTCTGGGGGTGGGGCCCACATTCTGGCTGCACCTGCCTCACTCAGGAGGTTCTGACCCATGTTCAGTGTGAGAACTGCTGTGTTAGAAGTTCTAAAGTGTATGCACACTGGCCTTCTCCTCTGTTCTCATAACTATAATTAATCACTATGATTATAAAATTATCCACTCACTGGCATGGATATGATGCATGCTAATTAAAGACCTTCTTTAGTCCTGCTTCTAAATTTACTGGTTAGGAAAGCATATTGATCTAGACAGGTGGAGGGACCCACTGAAAAACTAGGTGAAGTTTGTTTAGTATTTCCTTCCTTCCTTAATGTTTTTTCTCTCATAAAATACATCAATATAATACATATTAATTGAAATACTGACCAGTCAACTGAAAATTACTTATTGAGCAGCTAAAGGGCAAGGAGCGTTAAACAAATACATGTCCCTCAATAAAATTAACATATTACAGCTGGTACTTACTAGTAGTTACTTAAGATACTGTTTTCAACTATGCCCTTGTTGAAATAGAATTCTATTTGAGGAGGGAAAGAAAAGAGGAGAAAAAATAAAACGGAAGACCAACCTAGCTTCAAAGCAAAGAACCAGCTCTGCAAAAGGAAGAAATAATCTTTAGATTTTTAAGGCAGTGGTCCCCAAGTTTTAGTGGGCAATTTGTTGAAATCAGAGGGTCTGATCCTCCTGGATGAGAATCAGTTTCTGTGGAGCAGAGTCACATGTGTATTTCCAACATGTAACCCACGTGACTCCCACACACAGAAGTGAGACGTCCTCTCTCAAAGGGAATACTCATCCCAGTTCAGACTTCATAAAGGACATCAGGATGCCAGGCAACAAAATACATTTCAAAGTCTGAATCAATGATATTTACCTTTAGTAGGATTTTAGAATTAGTGAGTTGGCATTTTAAAGAGAATATTAGTTTATGTATATTATTCCTTAAAAAGAAATACACGATTTCAATTCCTAATTATATGCATAGAAGAGGTGAGGATAGGGAGTGGGTTTTCAGAATAGTAAGCTGGGCATGAGAATTCACAGCTCATGCAAACTCAGAAAATAAATAAATAAACGGAATGGTGGAACTTACTTGTGCGTTTTGGTAATAAGCACTCTGAAGCTCTGCTCTGCAGAAGCCCAGGACAGGGAACGCAGGCCTGTCGCACGTCTGGATGGAAATGAACGATCAGAGCTGTACGGGAAAGCTTGGAGCCCCTAGCAACACCTCGCCTCAATCAGAGGTTAGCATTACTCTTCAAAAAACATTATTTGAAAAAAAATATATTTATTTGCTTCTTAAATCACTGTCAGAAAATGTCTTCTGGCAAAATGAAGATAAATGCCAATGCAATGATATAGTTTCCAGCCACTATTTTCTTTAGTAGCAAAATGCTGCAGTGGTCGAGAACATAAAGGGCAGAGATTATATGGTGATGCATCCCGCTTGGGTGGTTTCTGGTGTTCGTTAATAGGTGTAGCAGAAAAAGAAACAGCAAAATAAATCATAGAAAGAATCATTTTCCCAAGTCTGCCACTTCAAAAAGTTTTGGAGACTGTTTCCAATGTCAAAAAAGTGATAAGGTGGAGGAGGAAGGAGGATAAATGATGATGGGGGAAAAACATAATATATGTACTATATATACACACATATATACTTATATACTTGTAACACACATATACACTTATATGTGTGTGTATATATTTTTAATAAAGTGATAAAGCTCTAGAAGAATAATTGTTACATGAACAGAAAAAAGCTATGACAATGTTAACTGTTCCCATATGCTAATATTTTGTAATGATTAAAGAGATATCTCTAAAGTAATAGAAATGTTGCTCCACATAATACTTGCCTTTGTTACTAAAAGAACAACCCAAATGTCCCTTCACTGCTATAACCAAGAGCAGCAAGAGATGGATTAAGATACAGCTGAACATCAAGAAATAGTGAGTTAAAAGTTTGTATTAAATGACTTCTAGAACAGCTAGACGTTTCCAAACAACAGTATGATGAGATGAGAGCTATCAGGTTTAACAACATCAAAAGAAAAGGGTTAGATTAGGCCAGTCTGAAAGATAGATTAGATCACACAGAAAGAAATAAACTTGTACTGAGCAGCTATTATGTGCTGGAGTTTTCATGCTCCAGTGTTTTCCATGACAAGTATTTTTAAGGTAAAAAACAAAACAAAAACAAAAACACTGAGGCACAGAGAAGATACCCGACTCAAAGCCAAATGGCTACAGATTGGCAAAGCTGAAATTTAAATCTGTGGTTGCTGATACTTAATTGATTCTTTTTTCCCATGATATCTTATTTTTTAGACAGAGCCTAAGTTCATGATACAAAAGAAAGAAACTAATTTGTACAGGATCTGTTGAAATATTTTGACTTACATTTAAAGGAAATACATTCTTGGGTATTAATTATTGAGAAAGGCTAATCAGGGACTTAGAAGAAGTAGAAGTCAGCAGGTGGTAATAACTGTAGCATATAATGTTTAGTAAAGCATTTGAGTATTAACTGTATTCCATAAGAAATTATATCCCAATGTCTACTAATAAGGTGGTGAAGTTGTAGAATCTTGCATATAAGTTGAGAACACATATATTCCAATTCTAGTTAATAAAGTTTATTAATACCATTTGTTGAAAAACTGAATCACTGGTATCAGGAGATATCCTATTATTCTAGATCCTGATAAAAAAACAGATCAAACCAAAAAAAATCTATTTAGACTTAACATGTGGCTATAGGAACACTCAGCTATACTAATCTCCAGAAATGTGGTAATAATCTTTGGCTTTTGTTATTCTGGATTTTATTACCTGCACACAACCTAATCCTTCCAAACGAGACCCAGACACTGTGAATCTGGAATGAAAGACGTTGCTTGTGCCTTTACAGTAGCTGTGTGTGGAGTCAGTCCTTTCCTCTATTTTTAGCACAGAGGGTGCACATGCTTTTATTTAATTAAATGATTCGCTGAGACGCTACAAAGAAAAGATAATGACAGCCTAGAATGACTGTTTTGTGCTGCAAAGCCTGGAGCGTGGAGCAATTATTAGCTCAATACCAAGGCACAGGCATGTTCTATCGTTTCCTTTTCCTGCTGAGTTTATTCCTGTGAATTGCACCTGGATGATGAAGTTCAACAAGTAGATTTGCTCTACAGCCATCCACCCTCTCAAAGCACGATTGCCTTTACAGAAATCCCTCCCAGTGCTTTGTGCAGCCTAGTTTGAAGCATCTCATCTAATAATAGAGCTTCAATCCCTTTTATTCTTAGAAGATGATTCACTGACACTATAATCCTTAGAGAAATTCTCCTGGTTTTTATCCTTAAAGTTTCTTTCCTATTTCTATTGCTTCTTGATACAATTTACAGTGTCAGGAAGGTATTTATGTTTACTTCAGATGTTTTAACTACCCTCCCTAAACTTAATTGTGGCCAAACAAAAGTTCTAAATCTTTTATTACATTTGCCCCAAATATACACTAATAAAAATCATCATATATGTTATAATGTTGTTGGTTTGCAAAAGTAATCTATCAGTTTTCACCAATAATATGGTGTGAAACAATAAATTCTAGGTTTGACTTACGGAGACTTGGTCACTGATTTGGTAAAATGGGACCTCAAACATTAGCTACATCATAGCCCTCAAACACATCCATCCATTGGGGGCTTAAGAAGCATGGAGAAGGTTTATATAATGCAAGAAGAATTTGAAAGGGTGTCAATAAAGACAAACCAAGAGGCAACTCAATTTATACATCATATATCTATTCACCATTGACCCCCAAAGGAACTCTGCTGCTTTAAATCTTCACCAGAACATTAATTTCTATGACATTCAGAGAGAAAAACATTGGTCCTGATCATATCATCTAGGTACTTCAGGGCAATGGACTCACTTCTCTGGGCCTTAGTTTCCTCATTGATAAAATAAATGACTCCTAGCGGTTCAGCCTTTATGATTCAATTTGTCACTTATTTTCAGAAAAAAAGGACATTAGATCACTATACCTAAAATACAAAAAAAAAGTTACCTTCTAAATATGCATATTTCTTATTCTAAAATAAGATAGTTCAAGGATTGAGAAAGGTTAATAAAGAATACTTAAGGATGAATGCAGCCAAATGGGAAGTACTGATAACTGGAAGACTCATTTGGAAGTAGCAAAATGGAAAGAAGATGTTGAAAGGGAAATCTTAAAAAGTATCAGTTATGGAGTTGGCCCTGATGACAAGACTTCATTCATAATAATCAGTCTGCACATTTGATGCATGAAGAACAAACTCAATGCAGAACACCCCTGAATTCTGCTCTCTTGGCAAAGGAGTATGCCATATGAATTCACCATATTTGTGGGTCTTAAGAAAACAAAGACAAATGTTTGAAAAAATCCATTTTCTATTTAGGATAACGGGACAATTCAAAAGCAGTTACTCTGTTCATGGACATATAAAAGGAATTATTATTATTTTAGCAAAGATACAGAATTATATCAGTGAAGGCAGCCAGCAGTAGACTGAAAGGAAATGAAGAGGCTGTAATAATTAAAATAAGCTCACAACAATAAAAGTTTCTAAAGAAAACTGTGTGTGGAAGGTACAGATAATAAATAGATGTGGCTTATTCTTGCTCACTGGTCAAGTCAGTGCATGACTTAATCTAGTACCTGCCAATCATCTTAAGAGACACTACAACAAATCTTAATACTCTAAAAGAGAAAGGTAGTTCTCAGTCATGAGCAGTTAAAGAGCCAAAAAAAGAAAATGGCAAAGACCTACCAGTGTAGCATTTTCATTGCAATATCAATTGCTAAGAGAGTCATGTACCAAGCGTGAATTTTCAAAGAGAAAAACTCTTGCAAGCAAAATCATAAGTGCGTTAGTAATAAATCATACTGTGCACAATGCAGAATTATAGTAGAGGAAATAAAGGATGAGCGTTCATTATGTTTAAGTCATGAAAGAGTAAATAATGTTAAATTGCAATGGCATTTAAAACAAATTCTCTGTGGAATTTTTATTTTTTTTTATTTAAATCAAAAGCAGAGTTGCTGTTTTTTAATTTATAAGATTTTTCAAAGAAAGAACACCAATTATCTAGTATCTATATAGTATAAAATTACTGTAATAGAAGAAAATTTTCTCAAACAGATGAAACAGATTTTAAAAGAAGGGTTAAGACACTCAATGGACCCTTTAGACCTCACCATCATGTTCCTGCAAGGTCTGGGGGCCTCTAAGCTGTTAAAAATTTGGGATAAACTTGGCCCCACAAGGAAGTGACTTCAAGCAATATATTAAGTATATGAAGTTCTTGGATTTTACAAATGAAGAAATAAATCAGTCATATGAATGACTTAAAATCAAAGTTAATAAAGAAGGCAAATGAATACATTTGAGAGCCTATTTTAAAAAGTAAATTTCTTAGTTCATATTTAACTTTTAAAATTACTATTTAGAACCAAAAATCAAGATTTTTAATAAAAAGATTTAGACATTACCCTCCAAAAGAAAGACTTCACAGAGAAATAAGATCCAACCACTTCATTGTTTGAGAGTTCCTAAAAATAAACAAATATTTAGCTAAATTTTGAGGTGCTTTTGAGAATACTTTATTAGCCCAACAAAATCAAAACAAATAAAAGCTCCAAAATTAAAAATAAAACAAAAGACAAACAAAAAACCCAAAATTATATATTCTAAGTACACCTTGGGTCTTTACAAACTAAATTTTCTTTCCTTGAAATAATTAAAGCTTTTCTTATTCATGTCTGATATCAATAGTAGTTAAGTATAGAGAGGATTATTTCTGTAATTTTTTTAAAAAGTCTACTTACCTCTTAGTTCTCAAGTGTTGATTAATGTACCTGAAAGTCTAACATTTTATTTTAAAAAGAACTATTTAAACATATTTTAAGAATTTGAAATAAGCCAGATAATATCTGTTCCTGTTAACAAAACAACACTATAGACCTTCAGAGTGTTTTTAAAGAATAATAGCAGAAATCTTACTTATAAGCACACACCTAGTCAAATTTGGTTTAATTTTTTACTAAATCTTCCTAGTTTTATTATATATGTATATATAATATAAATGACCTAGTTAACTTGAGCTTTCCAAAAATAAATTTAAAAAGAAATGAATGCTGAGAAAGGTGGTTATTGGGTTATAAACAAAGCAGTGCATTCATGTTGGGTATTTTATTACTTAATCCTGAGATTTTATAATGTGAAACCAATTCAACTCTAGAAAATCAAAAAACATAGTTACTTACTTTTAAACAGAAAATTTAAATTATATGCACCCTTTAAACTTTAATGCTGTTTCTAGATGTTGGTTACAGTAAAATTAAGGGGAAATTGTGATAGTTATGGGAAAGTATCAACCTTTGACATAGTGATGAAGAGGAAGTAGTTTTGTAACTTATTTGATTATTCCATGATTTTGTGTTAGCAACTAAGATTGTCCAACCCCTCAAATGATACCTCATGCATAGTAGATGCTCAATAAATATTTGTTGACTATTAATCACTTGGAGTTTCATTTGGGTGAGCATATATATTCCTTCCAAATGTAATACCAAAACTTATATATCTCATATAATAAAAGCCTAATATGCTAAGTGTCCGGTCATCTAGTCGGCCATTCAACCAATCAAAGCATAATATGCTAATGACATGCTAAGGCTGCCCAACCACTTGCTATGACATGCACTGACCACCAAAGGGCAGACAGTCAACCAGTCGATCAGTTGCTATGATGTGCACTGACCACCAGGGGCAGATGCTCCGACCGGTAGGTTAGCTTGATCGGGACTGAGCGAGACAGGCCAGATATGCCCTGGAGCCCTCCCGTGGTCCCTCCCCAGCCCTGATGATGCACTGGTGGGGTCCCTCGGCCTGGCCTGCACCCTCTCGCAATACGGGACCCCTCGGGGGATGTCAGAGAGCTGGTTTTGGCCCGATCCCACAGGCCAGGCCAAGGGACCCCACTGATGCACAAATTCGTGCATTGGGCCTCTAGTCAGAAAATAATAATGAACTAGACTACTTTAGGATGTGCATCAATTTAAATAATTTAAGTTTAAAAGTAGAATTAAATCAGAGATCACCTATACAATCTACCTGTGCTTTTTATATGAAATCTATTTCTTGAAACTACTTGCATAAGGTTTGGTGAGGTAGCATGATTAATGTCAGAAGTCATAGGGAAAAAATCTTGAGTTTAAGACTGTTTTACTATCGCTACAGAGTTATAATTCATTTACATTTACAAGTATGGTTCTCATTTGTCACACTGAGCACATTGTCACATCAATTTCTGAAAAAAATCCTTAAGGAATATACTTATATTTGGACATTGGGGCATAAACCTTAGGTGAAATGGCTGCTGTCTTTTTGATACTATACTATTGTTTAACTCAAAAACCTTATTCTGATTTTTAGAAAAGATGCGTGTTTTCTTTTTTATTGCCAATTCTTTTCTTACTTTGATTCCCAGTTCTTTTAAAATGAAGCAGCATAGTTAGCAACATGTAGAAAATTTTTCAAGTATCACATTCAAGAAATTATTGCTTGAAGTCTCCTCACACAAATACTTTCCCCAGAATCAATAACAAAGGCTGTGAAACTAACAGTAACTTTTATCTTAATGTAAAATGTGTTAAGGTGCCTTAAATGGATGTGAAAGTCTTGGCTCTAGACTCAAGATATTTGAAACAAATAAAACAACCGCTTAGCATCTATAATTACTGTAAATTCATTTAAGTGTCAGGTGCTCTAAGGTGACTAATATTGAAACTTCACCAACTCCATACTTTCCATTCTTCCTCAAATTGACACAGAGGATAATGACCTAATTATGTGACTGGTATAAAAAGAGCAAAATGAGATTGATGAATTGGGGGGTTTAATGATCAGAATTTTTTAAGTTTTAGGAGTTTAATTAATTGAGGTAAAAATACAGTCTTTTATAATAGAAATGTTCATGCTATTTGCCCTTTGTTCATTGCTGCATTTCAGAATCTGAATCTCAGAAGCCTTCATTATGAGATTGACTTTATAGCATTTTTAAATAACAAAAATTTAGGAGCATAAATAGTGACAAAATAAGGATTTTAAAAAGAATTTCATACTTCCTTCAAAAACATATAAGCATCTCATTTTTTCAAATACATAAACATAATACTTTGAAATGAGGCACCAAAGGAAAGCCATTTTGGTCACTCACAGTTGAGAGAGTCAACGAACAAGGAAGTTTCTATTTTTTGCAGTGTTTAAAATATTACCTATTTATTATCAGTATATGAGGTTTTTGTAGAAAGGGCCTGATAATTGTTAAATAATGACTTTTTTTTTTTTTACTATGGCTGACTGTGTGAGATACTTAAAAATGTGTTAATTTGTTTCTCTACCATTTCTTAAATTAAAGCACTTAGAAGTTTTCACTGATGCATTTTTAATGTGTCATCCAAGGTGTCAGGTTTAACTATGCCCTGCAGAATTACAGAGTTGAAAGTATTCTCTAGTTTAAATTAACAATATTCTTGCCAAAGTCTTATTAAAAATTGCTTTATTCAACCAGTGAATAAAATGTTTTATAGTTCATTAAAATTATGCTAAGTGATTATAATAAAATCTTTATAAAAAGATATATTACTTGAAAAATAAGCCATTAAATAACAGGAGATATGCTAATGAGACATCATCACATAGTCTATATTATATTATTCAAAGGATGAACTCTTCTTAAAACAATTCTAAACTGCTTTTGTTGAGAATATGAATTGCAACACGTGTATATATTATCACAATGGTTATTTCTCATACAATTAAAGTGATTTGTTGAAAGCACATAAGTTTATTATTATCACATCCACTGATAAACTCATTCTTCTACATGAACACACACATACTAATATACACAATACACACACACAATAGAGTACAAAATAATTCCTGCTTACCCTCTGATAGAGGCAATTATTTCATAATTTTTTCCATTTATTTGACCCCATAAGATTTATTCACAAAATACATATGCATCTTCTCTTCTGAGCTCATGAAACCTTTTTGTTGAATAATTTAACCTCAGAATAAATTATCAATGATAAGCTTCTTGTAAAGAATAAAATTTTGCACTAACTCAAAGTGTTACCATTCTCTGCCAAATGCATTTGTCACGTAAGTAAAACTCTCTGACCAGGATAATTATCCAGTTGCCTGCATTTAGGGAGACATTGATCCCTTTCTTCTTAAAATAACGTTTTTCTATAATAACTGAATCTGGGGAGAATTAAAAATATACACGCTGGAAATTATGCTAATAGAAAACCAGAATAAGTGTTTTAAAGGATGTTACCATCCCTAGGAGAGGAGATGTTATGAAATTCATAATTGTTTATTAGTTAACATATCATTCAAATATAGCATATATTTTATATAGAGGTAAATCTAGGTATACTTCTTTTTCTACTCGTTATTAGGTGGTAATACATTTTATCCAAATAATACATGTCAGTCCTGAACAGCAATTACAATTTCCTTGCCATCAAGTTGGCTATTCATCTCTTATTTCCAACAGCAAACACAACCCCATGTTATATGAGTGCCCAAATAATAAGATTTCCATGGAAAGAATCCATTATTGGCAAGACGAAGAAAATGACAAGCAGATATATAAGTAATGAGATAGTCCATGAGCTGATTCACTTGTATAGGGGAGATGCGCATATTACAAACAAACAATGTCAATTTAGCTTTTCCCCTCTCCAACGTTACTTCTGAAGAAAATACAAGGAAATGAAAAGAGCTCCTTAGTGGAGAGAATAAATAATGACATTATCTGATGATATGTAAGTCTTTGTCAGAAATTTTGTAATTCTCAGATTTATATTCACCTTTGGTGCTCAAAGATAGGATGCATATCATAGCCCTGATGTAAAAAGCGAAAGACCTCATTCCATAAATCAAGATTCCAAAGAATAAAATGACCTACTTGTATGAAAAAGTCACCTTTGACTTTGAGCATAGTTGTATAAAAAATAAGATACCTGTATTTGAATGTAATGCCAAAAATGTATATCCTCTTTCCAAAAATAAAAGAGGAAAAAATCCTTACACAAGAACCTTTAGAGAAGGTTGAAATAATTAGAAAAGAGATTCATTTGCACAAAACAGTAACATAATAAACAGTAATGTAAAACTATACAGTATAGTTACATATCTCTTAGTTTCTCAGGAAGCACAATCTATGGTAGTGCCCCCTTATCTGTGGTGGATAAATTCCAAGACCCCCAGGTGATGCTAGAAACCACAGATAGTACCAAACCCTATATATACTATGTTATTTTCCTCCACATAAAAATTAATTTATAAATTAGGCAAGTAAGAGATTAACAATAATAAGTAATAATAAAATACAGCACTTATAACAACATAGTATAATAAAAGTTATATGAATGTGGTCCCTTTCTCTGCTCTTGTAACACTAATATGAACAAATATAGCAAATGTTTTAAGGGACAGTGACAATTTGAATGAATTATCAAGTGTTCAGTATGTTCTCATAGGAAACACAAATGAGTTAACTGATTTTCTTTTATTCAGAATTCTATATCCCCATTAAATTTTATAAAGTTGGAAATCCCTTAGGCTAAAAACCCAAAAGCCATGTTATAATATACACTAAAAATAATCTGCTACATACCCCAATGAGTGCAGAGTTAGACACAAGGAATTTTGTATCTTTAATGGCAAGCTAAAAAAGTACCAGTTTGATGTACAAACGGATTATTAATAATAAATAAAAACTCAAAAATTTTTAGATATAAAAATAGTGGAGATTAGACATTTATTATTACTTTTAAATTATTTTTGTAGAGCAAAGGAAAAGTAGATTTATGTTTACTTAATTTATCATTAAAATTAAATATAGATTAAATAAACTATTTAAAGACTTTATATTTATTATTTTTATACTACAATAAAATGGATCATTCTTACCAATTAAAACAAAATACTACATAATATCCTGCTCTAGCATTATACCTTAATTACATCTGAAAGAGATAATATTGCTACATATTAATGGATTACAAATTTTTACACAGATATTATATCATAAATAGAAAATGCATGAGGAAAGCCAGATGCATGAATTTTTAAAAGATATAAACTTTTAATACAACACTAATTTTGAAATACAATGAAAAAATTGTAATACAAATATGAACAGTTCAAACACTTCCTTAAGACTTCTTGAAACTTTGTTTTGGTCAGTATATGAACACAGTGAACACTAAATCATAAGTATTCAGCAACTTTCCTTAAAATGTTTTGCATTTTTTAACTTTTTGTGTGAACCACATTATCTTTTGGTTATTAACTCTACAAAAATTAGGAAGAAAATGTATAGGAAGAAATATTTATTGAAGCAAGTTAAGACATTACCATAAGTGCGAAGACATTTTGATAATGTGTTTTCTTCATTCACAATAATAAAAATGGCAAAATCAAAGAAAAATTTAATAGCATGATTCAGTCAGAATGGAAGAAAAAAGATTGTCATGTTCCAGGGTCTAAAAAAAGTAGTCACTAGTAAAAATGAGTACTGACTTCTTAAATAGAGATTTGAGCAAACAAGATTTTTACAAATACAATCTCTTTGATTTCTTTTAAGGAGGATTCACATAAAAGTCCATTTCATTTTGATGCTTATTTGTGTCCAAGAGTGATACCACCACTGAACAAATTAGAAGCTTAGTTTACATCTTATATTTTTTACAAGTTATAAGAGCCAGGGCTTAGTAAGTTATAGGAGCCATAAACTCCTCTCACTCCCAAGAGTGTTTATTTCTTGAAGTGAGAAGAGGCAATGATGGAAAGTTGTTCTCATTATACACTCCAAAGATGTAGCAATTCAGGGATTTTTGAGTTTAGAAAACCTTAGGCTGAATTTTCGGTGAACAGAAACAGTAAGTTACATGGTTTTCCTTCTCTCTGAAGTTGTTCCTACTCTCACCTCATCATTTTATTCCTGATCTAGAGCAGACATTTTCTAGACCCTGTGGTACAGATAACAGAAACCAGATGTTGAGAATGATGCTGAGAAGTGACCAGAGATTAGCAAGAGGATGATTTGGGTGCAATTGATCAGTGTGATTTCTATTTACTTAAAAAGCAACACATGGTTTGCTGAAAGTTTATGAAAAAAATAAATAATTGAAGAGTGATGAAATCCTGTGTATAATTTGAAGAGGTATGAGAGAGATTTGGGAAAGCAGCTTGACTGATAGTTCTCAACAAGAAAAGCTGAAAGATCACATGCTAAGCATTACCTTACTTGATCTTTTCCAACTCTTCCTCATTAGCATTGTCTGCAAATGAAATAAAGCATTTTAATTATGTTATCACTCAGGTACAGAATAGGGCAGCCAGTTGGTTTCAAGAGGAAGCTTAACATTTAAACAGCAAACAGTTTCCAGCAACAAACTATAAAAGACAAAAAAATTGTTTTTCACATACAGGTAGAAGAAGCACCTTTAACATTCAAGCAGTCTTTCTGGTGAGAGTTCATTTGTTTTATTATTTACTTATATATATTTTTTACAAAAAATAAAGGGACAGTACATTTTAAATAGAATGGAACATTTTAAGTAGAATGGAACATTTTAAGTATCTTAATTGTTGACTGGGGAAAAAACACACCGAGTCTCATGATTGGCGATTGTTCCTTTTGGTGGTGCAGGTTGAGGATGTACCATGACTTTACTAGGTCTATAATAGTTTTTTCTCTTCAAACATGTTCAAATCTGTTGCTTTGATGGCATCTTAGAATTGCCTCTGCTTAATCTTTTACATCAGGATCTGTAAGTGCTTTCAATGGAGAAAAATGCTGCACAATGTGATGGCTATTGGTAGATCTAAATGTTTAGTCATAACATATACCTAAAGACTAGTTTGTGTGTGTGTGTGTCTTACTTAGTAAGATGTATTTATGGATACAAGTTTTAATTAAGGTTATGGTGGTTTGTGATGAGTGCCCAAGATCATTCATCTTTTGTATAAAGTAAGTCATAAAAATCCAAAGAATATTTTATTTGCTCTCCAGTTTTAAAAAATTTTCAATAAACACTGAGGTATTAACTTTCTAATTAACCTCTATACCCTCTCTTAGCTTTTTATTATCCTTAAGGCAGATGAAGTGGAGAATAGGGAATATTTGGAGCAAAGAATATAACTTAAAGGAATGTTTGCCATATTTGTGTAGCAAGGACATGTACTGATACCTTTCAGAACTATATCTCTTTCAACAGGATTCACTATAAAGTAGAACCGTTTCAGAAACCATTCATAAATTACAAAAATACAAGAAAGAAAAGATTTTAATACAAGATTTAGTTATATAAGAAGGGAACCTTTGGCCTAAACCAAGATATGAAAATTATGTTGCGTTTCTAGAGTAGAAAGTGAGAAAAGCATAAAATTGTCAAAGATAAGGATACATTCCTACTTTTTATAAATAGTGGTTTTATGGGTTATACTTTCTCTATATACTTGCTAAGTTAAATATTGATGAAAATAGGGAAGAATAATAGATTTCCTAAGGTTATAATAATTTCCCATTTTCCCCCCAAATGGATCCAGGAAACCGCAAAGCATTGCTATTAAGTACTATTATAAAACTATTTTATATGTTTTCTAAGTACTAATGTCCAATTCATTTTAAAGTAACAAAACCCACCACTGGGTTGTGGAGATGTGCATGTAATGGACATGTGGTAAATGTTTGTTGTTGATGTAAAATAAGTTATTGCAATCATCATCATCATCACCACCACCACTTTCCATCATCACTAAAAGGTAATTGGAAACCAAACATTTTTGTAGTATGACATATTCATAAAAACTGTGCCATTAGGAGTCAAAAATAAATGTGCAACTTTCACAGACAGCAGAGTTTCAAGGAACAAAGAATGGTAATTCTTAGAGACAATGTTTTGAGTCAAATAAACAGAACAATTAAGATAAATAAATTGAAAAGTAAAATCTCTTAACTCATGGCCATTTATCATCATCATCTAGTACCTAAGAATCTTATAAAATTCCATTCTGTAAGAAATGTTGTACTATAAAAAAAAAAAGAAGCTAAGGACATGAGAGAGAGTTGAATTTCAGGGTAATGCTACTCAATAGTATAGGGATTCACTACTACTGGCAAAGTCACATCTCCTGACTCAGAACTACTGCATACTATTAAAATGTAAAACGAACTATAGGGTTGGTATTTTTCCTGCCTCTCAAAATTGGCTTTACAAACAGGCGGCATGGTATTATTTTTCAGATTGAGACACTGATACAAACAAAAAGTCAGTAGTAACTTTTTTAAGTGTAAATATGAAAGATCTGGCATTTATGGGAACCAATTCATTATTTTCTTGGTTGAGTATCTTGAGTTTTTTATTAGATCCAGTGACTCTCAGAATGGTCCTAGATCTTATAACAATATTTCTGCTTCTTTAACCAAAACAACTTACTAAATAATAACTTTGAGTATCCCTCTCACAAGTCTTTTTTTTACTTTAGATGGTTGGGTTAAGGTATATTCAATTAAACTGAAAACAGGAGAAAAGTGTTTAAAAAGTGAATTTAACAGACATACTATTATGCTACCTTTGCTATCTGTGAAACATGTTAGAAAAGAAAGATTGTTTGGGGAATGTCAAAGATAGGAGATGAAGCAAATTATAGAAAAAGAAGATTTTGTTTTTTTGCTCTATGATCTTCAGCTAAGAAACATATGAATTTGTTTTTGAAAGTGTCATTATCTAATATCATTATAGTATAATCAAAAAATTTATTAGCAGCTCAACTTTCTTTGAAGCCAATAAAAGAAATAAGTAGCATAAAAATATGGCCTGTGATAGAGCTGCAAAACTGATTACTTTTTTTTTAAAGATTCCACAATCTCAATCCACTTTGTGCTTTTATATTTTGTTGTGATTTTTTTAGGCAATTACATGGCTTTATAGAAAGAAATTACAGAATGAGTAGATATTATATACATATATCATAAAATATATGTATCACATTTTTATAGGTGGATATTTTTTCAAATGTTAGCTATGAAATAATTCAGGAAAAAATAAAAAATAAACCAACATGGGAAAAATTTTAATTTATTAAAAGCCAATTAGGGTCAATCCATATGTTTCTGAGAATTTTCTTTCTTTCTTCTTCTTCTTTTTTTGCTTTAGCCAAGCAATTTGTAGGCCTAGGTTATCTAAGAGAGTGTATAACACAAATTAACTCACTTTTATTTCACAAATTCTCCAATGAAGAAAGTTGTGGATTGAACTCTGCTAGAAAAAGAGCCAGAAAGAACTCAAACACACCATCAGACCAAAATACCATACACAGGACACATATGTATTCACGACACCTTTTAAGAGATCAAAAACAAGACGTGCATTCAAACAGAAATGACAGTTGTATCATGCAACTCATCAGCATGCCCCCATGAAAATTTTGGGTTCTCCTACACACAATGCTGGAAACTTTATATATATATATATACACACACATATATATGTGTATATACACATCTGGGATTTAAAAAAAGACTCATTAACTCAATGAAGAAGATTTTAATACAAGCAACTATGAAATACTTTGGCTGTTACTTATACTGTATTTCTTAAATTGCTGTGATTAGACATTGCATATTTTAGAGGCCTTAGGGGATTCAGCAGGCTGATAGGTTTTTCAATGCATTCTTTAGTTTTACTGATTCCCAGAACTGGCAGTCCACACAAGGAGAAGTCACCCAACTGCATTATTCATGACATTTATTGTCAGTATTGACAGTGTATAAAAAACTCATAACTGACTTAGAAATCTTAGCACTTTCAGATGCTAAATACTCTGTTTCCAGTTACTCATTTCTTCCTACTTTTGACAGTATTTTCCTAACATTAATGCTCTATTTCCTATTTGATTGTTAGCATTTATTTCTTAATGGCTCTTTAAACTCATATGTCATCTTCCATTTTAATACACATAAGTTAACTTTTGTAAACACAGGCATAAGAATAAACATGTGGTTTTTAAAATAAAGTCTTAAGTCCCAAAAGCTTAAGTAATTTCTGAGTTAACAAAGAGAACAGAATTCTTCTAATTTTGCTGTGTGAGAGTCAATTAAAAAATCACCTTCTATTTCATCCCCATATATCATTCTAAATATTAAATGGAATTGTGATCATTTACTAACTGATTTCTGGTTTGCTGCATTTTGAGTTAGGGTTTCTCTAAACAAGATTTGTTCCTTGATAATGGGTGAAAGTTCAGCATGTCATTTTTACTGTAGCAATATGTTATGTATTCAGGAATATAAAAACTTAATTTGAAGACATATTGGATTTCTGGCTGGATTTAAGCAAGAAAATTCAAATGTATTCCAGAGAAATGCATTTAGCTAATGCAAACATGTTACAAAATGAAAAAAAATACAGTGACCTGCTTCTAATTCATTGTCATCATTAGAAATCTCGAGACAAGTAATATAGACTGATTTAAAGCACATTATCATTAACATACCAATTTTAAGAACTCAAAAGGAAACTTAAATCGTTATTTAATATTGCTTGTGACAACCTCAGGGATTTGAATATTGAAGTAAGAAAAAAAACATAGTATATTTTCCTGCACCTTTGAAGCATCCATTCCTTCAAATCCTCATAGATATTCAGCTACAACCCATTGAACAATCATTAGGTACAGAAAGCTGAGCTAGGTTTTGAGAGATGTTATCATAAGGAAATCAGAAGCAATAATTTACATGTACTTTTTTTTAAAAAAAATGGACTGATAGAATATAGGATGGAGGTGAGCAGAAGTATAGTATAGGTACATTTGGAGAAGTATAAGTGACATTGAAGAAAGCTTGGACTTAGAGAAGGCGAATTTTGCAAGAGTTTGCATGGCTGGAACAGAAGTTACAAGTGAGGGAACATTGTTGGTGATTGAAGAACCTTAAAGTTCCTCATCAGGAGTTTCTGTTTAACCAGAGAAGTAACCACAGGTTACTGAACACTTAGGAAAAAAAAAAAAGAGGAAGGTATAGAACCTAGCACAATGCTTAGTAGATAATCAGTAAGAGGGTTTTTTGTTGTTGTTTTTTCAAAATAGAAAAAATGGTCCTTGTTCATAGTTTTAAAATCTCATAGCTAGTGTTACTTAACAATTTAGAAATAGCCAAAGAACTGCTACATGGACCAAAGAAAAGGAGAAAAAAGCAAATTATTATGTACTTGTTAGAAATGTTGAGTAAAACATATGCTTAGGAAACCAGATCCAAATCTAGGACATCAGACTCACCAGGATATTGAGAAATTCAATAGAATTTCCTATGAGGAACATTTTAACCTTCCTCCCCACCTCTTGACCCACTTCTCTAGAGCCAATTCCATGTTCCCAGCTACTAATCACATGATCACACCCATGAGGAGGAGCCAATATAGCCACACCTGTCACCCTCCTCTCTGCTCCTCAGGTGTGGCCAAGGTCAGGATGGTTCACCAGCCAGAGGCAAGCCTGGTATAGGCTGCAGCTGTCAGGCCTTTTCTTGAGGCACTGAGTCCTGGCTAAGCCACTTGCTTCCCTGACGAAGAAGAGAGAAGACAAGTGAGAATCCACATTAATACAGGAGGCAAAAAGACAGTTTTTCAGTTGGCACAGAATAAATCCAGTGCTATTTAGGACTTTGAAGGGGAAAGATATGAAGTAAGGCAGTGGATGAAAAATATTTGGCAGTAAAATATTTCTTTCAAAAAGCTGGGATTGAAGTAAAGAAAATGACATGAGGATTTCAGAAAGAACTGTTTGTGCTGGAGAGATATGATAAAGAGAAAGGAAAGAAAGAAAAAAAGATGAATAATGCCAGGTTTTTGATGTGTAACTGTTTTATGTAACCCACCTGTTTCTTTCCCTATTCATGTTTGAGAAATCACTGGTGATCAACAACCAGGCACTGAAATTGTTTTAAATGATTTTTTTCTAATTAGGAAGACATTGTGCCTAAATACGTCTGAGCAGCTATGAGGATTGAAGGACTTTTGCAAGAATTGTTGAAGAAGAAATAGAGTTGGGAACTACTTTGCCTGTGCTGACATATATTTCTGTGAATTTAGAACAAATAGCAGTTCAATCATAAGATCACTTGATACTTATTTGACCCCTCAAGCCCTCAGTTTGATTGAGAGTACTTAATAAATATCTCTTTAATATAAAAATTTAGTAGACCTTCATCATCACATCACCCAAATAGCTACATGGTTCAGGACTATACAAGACCTAAGCCACTTAGGTATTTTCATGTATGAGGTGCTGTCCTTCATTAAAACACCAAAGAATCCCAAAGCAAAAACATCATTCTATCACCAAGTTTTGTTGATTTTACCTCCTTTAGGTAAATCTAATCATTTCCCTCCATTTCTATCTCTGACAGGTCTGATCTAAACTTCCATTTTCTTCCACTTGGATTTTTGCAGTAGCCTTCTAATTGGTTTCCAAGCATGTGTTCTCACTCTTCCATCTATTTTCTATTGTGCAGATGCAGAGCTATTTTCAAAAAGCAAATATGATTATGCCACTTCCCAGTTACAGACTTTTCAATGGCTCCCACTGCTCTCCAAGGAAAGACCACAAACCTTAACATGGCCAATGGTCCCTACACAATCTGAGCATCCCTTTCCACTCCAATTGTCATCGTGTACCATGATCTTCCACACACCCTGCTTTCACCTTCTCTAAGCTCCAATACTTTTTAAATTCCTCAAATGCAGCATGGTTCCTCTAGCCATAAGGCCTCTGCAAACGCTGTTTTATTCTGCTTAAAATATTGCCTCTTTTCCTCGTTTTTGGCTTAGTAACTCCTATTTATACTTTAGACCTCAGCTCCTATTTGACCTCCTTAGAGAATCCCATCCCCCAGACTGAAACAATTTCTCCTATATTTTCTGTTATAGCAACATGTGCCCCTTTTTCATGACACTTAAAACAGTTGTCAGCATACATGTTCTTCAGTGATTTTTTTATTCCCAAGTTCTCCACTGGATATAAGTTCTCTTATATCCTTAGGGTCTAGCATAGGACCTGGTGTATAGTAGGTTCTTATTGAGTACCACGTCCTCACCCACTCTTCTGTCTGCACACATGGGCCTGTGCACACATACATACATTCTTTCATCATGCTAAGTTCTCACAGTAGGTATTATTTGCTAATACTTGCTTGAAAATAGAAATTTCTTCCTCACTGAATAGTTATAGACACTTAAATCATACTTAAATATTACCTAGGAATATGTGCATTTATTGTTTAATTCTTTAAAAGATAGAGAAAAGTACCTATTGAGAAGGGTTAATTTTTCAATGATTTTAAAGCACTAATTTGAAGATGCAATTCATTATTTTCATGTACAATTTAGAGAAAATATCAATAATACCTTTCAGAAAATGATATATACCTACTCTAATCATGCCTTATTTTAAGACAGCAACACGCACATTGCTGAAAGAACATTTGAACTTGCCTAAGAGATTATGTCTACTCCTAAAATATGTTACAATCAGACCTAGTGAGAGTAGCTCCCAGTACACAAAAGCACATGGAATCTAATAAATAATCTCTGGTAAATTGTGGCAGAAAGTGCACTGGCCAGCATACCAATGTGGGTCAACCCTGACATTTTTAATATCCCTTCAGCAGTGATATAGTAATTGGCTCCTCCGTATCCCTTGCAGCTTCTCACAGCAGCATGATGTGCAAAGTAGAGACAGCCAGTGCTGGGAAATGGGTAGCACTGATATGGTAGTCCATCAAAAAGATGAAAAGTACTCACTTATCATTCAGCAAACAAATACCAGAAAGCAGAAACTCTGTTATCATTTCACTTCATTTTCTTTGTTATGGCACACCTGACAATATAGTCAAAATGGTAAGTTCTGGATACCTCCAGGTAGAACTCCAAATATTTAATTCATTAATAAATGTATTCCCTGAATGAATACTATCATTTGTCTGCAACACAACATGTCTGAAACTGGGTAAATCAAATGATAATAAAAGGCAAATATGTCTCTTATTTACAACAAGAGGTTCTGATCTGGAGCATAGGACAGGAGATTTGAGTTCAAGAGATGCAATATACAAGGACTAGTGATACCAGGATACTCACAGAAACAAAGGACAGGCCAGATTTTCATACGCTGCTTCTCTTTATTATTACCTCTGGGCTCAGAGAAGGCTCACAAAATTCAAACAGTGTTTGAATGGACACCAGAGGGCAAGTTTGAGATCATGAAAACAGCTCTACAAGGCTGCGGGGCGACTTACCACATCCCTGTGTTCTCCTTCCTTAGGTGTAAGGGTGACTGACAGCAAAATGATTCCAAGGTCATGGTCAGGATAGTGGGGATCTTTCAGTGGTAGAGTCACATCTGTGGGCCTGTGGTAGAAAATATTAAGATTCTGAACAGTAATTCAATGAATAAGCCAAAAATATATTTTATATCAATATTTTGGTCTGCCTTTACACCCCTGTTACAATTTCTGTTGTTATTAACATTTCATCAATGAATTAAGTTGTCCAATAAGTTTTGAGCCAACGGGGTATACTTGGGTTCACTAGATAAGTTTCAGTCCTGTGTGGGGTTCTAGAAAGGCCATGGGGTCATTGGAAAGGCCAAAAAACCACAACAGTATTGAGAAACATACACGTTCCTGCTCTATGATCTCGAAGCACACAGAATGTAATGGTGGGTATTTTCTATAAATTTGAGTCATAGAACTAAATAGGGTCACTTATTGACCACTATTTTCCTTTTACATCTTTAAGATTTTTTTTAAAATCAGGAGTATGATATTGAGTATATAAATGAGTGAGAGAAGAGGAAAATACAAAAGATACTTTGCCTGCTATACATTACAGACATACTTTAAAAACAATGTCTAAGTACTTGAAAGAAATTCCAATATTTAAAACAGTACTTCTATTTTGTAGTTTTTTTAAACCTATGCCTGAACCATTTTCAGGTTCAGAAATACAAGAAAATCAATAATTTGATCAATACTTAGAAGACTTTAGAATGTCCTTAAATCTTTATCATGCAATCATTATAGTTAGGTATCTGAGGAAGACATTATGAATTGCTCAGTATTTATACTCACAATCACTTTTAGAAAATAAGCAAAATATACATTCAATAAGCAATGCATAGGCGATATCTTATTTCCGTATTTTAATTTATATTTAACAAATTAGGGTTCATGCCCTTCATTAACCCAAGTGACTGTGTAACGTTTGGCGCTAAACTTGAATCTTGAAATGTTGGCAAATTAGGAATGTTCCTTTGCTTGTTCAGTCACTTGCTCATTCACTTCATTCACAAAACATGTATTAAGCACATATTAAATGCCACACACTATGCTAGATTATGGGTAAAAACCAGAACTCAAGACCAAAGATAAGATCCTTACCTACACTGAGCTTAACTTTTAGGAAATGATACAGTTGGAGTCTAATACTGGGACGAGGATTTGGGATTGAGAACCTTATGTAGTTTATTATAATACTAGGAAACTCTTTCAAATAATGCTTAATTTACCAAGTCAAGGAATGAGATTATTAAAAATATAAACAGGTTTCTAATATTAGGGGCTTTAACTGAAACACAAGTAACCTGTTAGAAAGATAATATATATACGCTATAATCATTGTGATGAAAATTGTTCCAATATGATTTTAGTTATAGCTAATTATGGTCAGATAATAACAAACTTACTCTTTTTATTTTAACAAATATATATTAAGTATTATATTGTGCATGTGTGTATATATATGTGTGTGTGCATGTATGTGTATGGGTTTACAACTTGGTTTGACTTGTTTTACGTGTCTCACTCGTTCACTTTTTGATTTGACATAGGAGTAATTTGAGTTACGAGCTCCGTCACGGAATGAATTAAACTCGTAAGTCAAGGCCCTACTGTATATATACGTTATAATTATTGTGATGAAAATTGTTCCAATATGATTTTAGTTATAGCTAATTATGGTCAGATAATAACAAACTTACTCTTTTTATTTTAACAAATATATATTAAGTATTATATTGTGCATGTGTGTATATATATGTGTGTGTGCATGTATGTGTATGGGTTTACAACTTGGTTTGACTTGTTTTCCTATAATGATTACATATACAGATTAATAGGAAAAACTTCATTACATTTTATAATGATTGCATGATAAAGATTTAAGGACATTTGCAATTGCTTTATGATACATCTATTATTTTCTTTCAAAGAAATACCGTAATGCATTATATAGTAGCATAAGTATTTATATGCTACTATTATTACCCATTTTTCTACACCCAGAGGCTACTTATTTATACATGGAATGCAATAGCATAATTATAAATATGTAATTTTCAAAAGTAATATGTGATTTTAAAAAGTGTTTGGGGAAAATGGAATGGTTAGTTAATATGTAAAATAAATAATGTGTCAACATAAACACCAAATGCTTGCATATCTTTTTATTTTCTTAATCATCCCATAGTTTTCTACTTAAAGTTATTTTTCACAATAATTTCATCTTTAATAGAGAAGAAGAGAAATTTATGCTCTGTGATTAAGTCCAATAGTTTGCATATCCTTATGTAGAAGTCTTCAGAGAAAATAATATGGTCTTTATAGAATAATATGGTCTTTACAGCACAGTCCATCCCAGTTGGAGCTCAGTTTTTATGATAATGGACTACATACACTACCATCTAGGACACTTCCTTCAACTGTAGTGAGGTGGGGAACCAGCGATCACCTGGGTTCTATTCTTAGGTCAAGCCTGCACTTTAGGTTGCAATGAAGGACATGTGGGAATTAAAGAAAGGCCCCTCTTTTGTCAAGTTTGAGGCAAAAATGATCTTTGGAAGACCAATAAGCTGTGCTCAAATTCAGCTGACTATAACAGTTAAGGGGTCTCCATAATTTATATTTCTCCACTCATCTACATTTATAGAAATACAGAGTAGTAATCTAGCCCATTATATTGCTTTCCTCTATTCCTGCCACATGATGGAGCATGATCATCTAAAACAGAATCCCTTCTCCATAAAACCGTCAAAGATTTTACAGCTTCCTTTGCAACCCCTTCCAGCACCACTTGAGCCGGTTTTTTCTTCCATAGTATTAATCAATTCTTAACTCCTATGTTGAAATGAATTTTTAACTACAGTGAATGAGACAGGCAATGTCCCTGACTTCCTTATGTTTAGAGGTGCAACAGTCAATAAATACCCAAATAGACATGTACAGTTTAGTGATGGACGCTATGGAGTAAAATATAAGGCCATAACTAGGTAAAAGGAATAATTAATATTAGTAGTAAAAATATAACTTTACAACTGGTCAAGCAATGATAAAATGATGTAACAGCAAATACAACCAAGTCTGCCTCCACTTTTGGGGCATTCCTTGGTAACCTAGGATTACTGGTGATTACTTTGGCTCAGGTGATAAATAAAAATATAAGGCCATAGCTAGGTACAAAGAATAATTAATATTAGCAATAATAATATAACTTTACAACTGGTCAAGCAATGGTAAACTGATGTAACTGAGCAAATACAACCAGCCTGCCTCCACTTTTCGGGCATTCCTTGGTAACGTAGGATTACTGGTGATTACTTTGGCTCAGGTGATAAATTGCAGTTTTTGAAGAAAAGTGCACACATTTTATTTCCCATATGATGGCCTGATTCTTAAGTTAATAAATATGATTAGCAAGCATAATCTTTTTTATGCCCCATTACAACCATACAAGCAATGCAGGAGCAAGGAATGTGTCATTTATCTCTAGATTCCTGGTACTTAGCACTGTGCTGGGGGACAAAGCAGGCATCCAAGAATTTTTCTGTTGAATGGTTGTTGAGTAAGATAGTCAGGGAAGATGTTTTTATTTCCATTGGGTTGATGAGAAAAAATGTACTTTAGAAAGTCTGCCTAGCATGAGGGCTCACAACCACACAAGACTAAACAGCGACTAGAATCCAGATCTGCTGACATTGTTTATTACACTGGCCCAGCTTCCTAACAAGGTGTAGTGATATTATGACAGTTCAAAGATCACCTGTTCAACTCCAACTGTGTGAGATCCAGAAAGGCTGAGCCCATAAAATCATCCTGTAGTCCAAAATCATAGTCAAATACCTAAGAAACCAAGAAGACATTATTATATTATTATAAAAAATAAGCTTTAAATGAAAACATCTTAATTATAAAATATTGGATTTTGTCAATGTCACCAAAACAATGTAACAATGTCATATTTATTTTAAAAATTTATTTCTGTGCTGTGTAATACTAGGATCTCAGAAAGCATTCAAAGAAAATGGTATTTAATTTCCTACTTAAAGTTATTGATTTATAATAATACAATAAAATACAATAAATCTTCAATACTCAATAAATCATTAAAAATGTGGGAAACACAGACTTTGAATATTTTCCCCATATTACAGAAGGGCATAGCATTCCTGGAAGGCAGAGTGAGTTTGTAAGAAATTCAACAAAGATGTCTTCCAAACTGAGCTAAAGATGATGAGAATGTGATTCCAAGTTCTTCATATGCCTCAGGTCATTGTAGATAAATTCTATGATATTATAGGACAATATCATTGAAGCATACAAATAGGTAAATATTGAGATATTATGATTGAAGCATTTAGTGATGGTATATTAATGTTGTTAAATTAATTTGATTGTCACAAGCAATGACTAAGGGATAAGGCTAACATGACTAACAACAGAAAGGACGAGAAAAGAGAGAACCTTTCTTCCATCTGTCATAACAATTTACCCAGTATCTTCTCTGTGCTTTTCATGGTTCTTATTCCTACTACAGTGAATGAGACAGGCAATGTCCCTGACTTCCTTATGTTTAGAGGTGCAACAGTCAATAAATACCCAAATAGACATGTACAGTTTAGTGATGGACGCTATGGAGAAAAAAAAATCTAAGGGGTGTGTTGGGAGCTGTCATTTTAGATAGGGAGTTCAGAAAGGCCCCTTGGAGGAAGTGTGTTCCTATGGAGACCCAGTGCTGAGAAAGATTAACCTCTGTTAGTAAGGAGAGAGCACTCTAGGTGGAGGAAACAGCAAGCAATTAGCATATTTAATTATTAAGAAACCATTGTGGTGAAGCAGATTGAGAATGATGGAGAGTGGAAGGAGATTGGAGAGAGAGCTCAGAGCTAGACCAGTTAGGGGCCTTTCTAAAAAACACTCTAAGTAAATGGGACTTGGCTAATTTCTATCTATTTATTAAGTTTTTCTTACTCATTCACTCCCTCAGTCAAGATTGATTCAGTACTTATCATGTGTCAGACTATGCTAAGCATTGAGAAAACAGTGGTGAGCAAAACTGACATTGTCAGTGTTTACAGTTTAGTGAAGGAAACACATATTAAACAAGGAAGTGCATAGGTAATTACACATTTTGATAAGTGTTGTAAAGAAAAGAACAGGGGCTGAAAAGAAAAACAGTAACAGTGGAGGTCAAGGAAATTTTTAAGATGAAAAAAACTGCTACTAGATGAAGTTTGAGCTGTGTTTCTTGACCTTTTGAAACAGAAAATCATATACTCACATACTGCCAAAAAGAAGACATTATTATAAAAATTTCCAAAATAAGCTTTAAATGAAAACATCTTGATTATAAAATATTGGATTTTGTCAATGTCACCAAAGCAATGTCATTTCCTAATATTTATATTTAAAAATTTATTTCTGTGCTGTGTAATACTAGGATCACCAAGAAGACATTATTATAAAAAAGTCCAAAATAAGCTTTAAATGAAAACATCTTAATTATAAAATATTGGATTTTGTCAATGTCACCAAAACAATGTCATTTCCTAATATTTATTTTAAAAATTTATTTCTGTGCTGTGTAATACTAGGATCTCAGAAAGCATTCAAAGAAAATGGTATTTAATTTCCTACTTAAAGTTATTGATTTATAATAATACAATAAAATACAATAAATCTTCAATACTCAATAAATCATTAAAAATGTGGGAAACACAGACTTTGAATATTTTCCCCATATTACAGAAGGGCATAGCATTCCTGGAAGGCAGAGTGAGTTTGTAAGAAATTCAACAAAGATGTCTTCCAAACTGAGCTAAAGATGATGAGAATGTGATTCCAAGTTCTTCATATGCCTCAGGTCATTGTAGATAAATTCTATGATATTATAGGACAATATCATTGAAGCATACAAATAGGTAAATATTGAGATATTATGATTGAAGCATTTAGTGATGGTATATTAATGTTGTTAAATTAATTTGATTGTCACAAGCAATGACTAAGGGATAAGGCTAACATGACTAACAACAGAAAGGACGAGAAAAGAGAGAACCTTTCTTCCATCTGTCATAACAATTTACCCAGTATCTTCTCTGTGCTTTTCATGGTTCTTATTCCTGCTACAGTGAATGACACAGGCAATGTCCCTGACTTTCTTATGTTTAAAGGTGCAACAGTCAATAAATACCTAAATAGACATGTACAGTTTAGTGATGGACGCTATGGAGAAAAAAAATCTTAGGGGTATGTTGAGAGCTGTCATTTTAGATAGGGAGTTCAGCAAGGCCCCTTGGAGGAAGTGTGTTCCTATGGAGACCCAGTGCTGAGAAAGATTAACCTCTGTTAGTAAGGAGAGAGCACTCTCGGTGGAGCAAACAGCAAGCAATTAGCATATTCAAGGATAATTATTAAGAAACCATTGTGATTGAAGCAGATTGAGAAAGATGGAGAGTGGAAGGAGATTGGAGAGAGAGCTCAGAGCTAGACCAGTTAGGGGCCTTTCTAAAAAAAACTAAGTCAGCGGTTCTCAATCTATGGGTCGTGACCCTTTTGGCGGTCGAAGGACCCTTTCACAGGGGTCGCCTAAGACCATCCTGCATATCAGATATTTACATTACAATTCATAACAGTAGCAACATTACAGTTATGAAGTAGCAACAAAAATAATTTTATGGTTGGGTCACAACATGAGGAACTGTATTTAAAGGGCCAGAAGGTTGAGAACCACTGCGTTCTCAATGTCCTATAATTTTATGAGTCAAGGTCTTTTACCCAGAAAAGAACAGGGACTGAAAAGAAAAAAAAACAGTGGAGGTCAAGGAAATTTTTAAGATGAAAAACTGCTACTAGATGAAGTTTGAGCTGTGTTTTTTGACCTTTTGAAACAGAAAATCATATACTCACATACTGGAGCATATGAGCATAAATCGGTAAGTTCTCTCTTGAAAGGACAACCCAGGCCACTAGACTCTCCAGGATGTGAGAATCCATAGCCCAGTGCTCCTGTGCCCAATTCTTGGCACAAGTTTGAAAGCTGGAAGCAGAGGTAACAGTATCCACAGCAGCCTGAATCAGTTACTGCTTTTTCTCTAGTGCAGGTGTACTTCTTAACGTGAAAAAATCAATATTAAAACAGTAAGATAAATACTTTGCATTATAAAAGGATTCTTAAATTTGAAGAGTCATAAGGGGATTTATTTAAGTAATAAGTTCCCCTAATGCCTCTTCAATTATTCAATTTACAGTCATTTGATTTACCTACAATCTGTCAGGAGTACATTTGTTGTAGAAAGCACAGCACCCCTGCAATAAATATTCTCCTTGATCAATTACACTTCTGAGCTTTAGTCATCACTCAGTGGCATATCACATGAATATCTTGCACATCTATGCAACTGCCACCTCGGTATTTTCAAGTGACTGCAATACTGTACTTTACAACATAAAATTTACACTAAAAATTAGAGAAATTTCTCTTGTACAATCTCTTTTAATGGTATTACCCTAAGGCTTAAAATCTTGGGGAGACTATAGTGAAGTATAATCAATGAGAACACCTGGGGTACACCCGTACATGTGAAGTGAAGAGCTGTGAAGTCAGCGAATTAAGTGTAGACAACCCAACTGGGTGATTCAACATTTAAACTCTGTTTACTCTCATGGTAAGAGTCTTTCCTACTGTCTTAATGCTAGATGTTTACTTTAGTTCGCAATTCCTATTAATCAGCAAAGGCATAAACCCGGGACCAAATGGAAACATCAGCATTCATTCGTTATGAAATTATTAGCTATGTTACTTGGTTCAAGTTCTATAAACCATTTGTCAGAGGGAGCACCGCTTTAGGTGGAGCTTCAGAAATGCAGAGCATAGAAAAGGAAAAGATACTCTCACTACATGATATGCACAGTTAATTCTGATGAATGTTTTTTTTTCTATATTTACTATATGTTAGGCACTGTGTTAAATGCATTACATAGATTTTTAAATTTAATTCTTACACAACTCAGTGAACAAGGTATTGTTTCCATTTTGCAGACAATGAATCCAAAACTTTAAAAGAATATGTTACTTTCCCCTAAATCCCAGGATTGAAACAAGTCAGATTCAAATATTGTTATACTGAATTTCAGAAATTTAACAAACATAACTCTGGGTGAAGTTCTGGGAATTCAAATGTGAACAATTAAATGGGATCTTTGCTTTCATGAACCCTCCACTCCATTGTGTTGGAAATACGAGGTAAATTTAGGTAGAAATTGCTTGGGGGCTCAGTAACACCTCTCTTCATTCTCAAATGAGTTTAAAATAACAAATATTCTACTAAATGCATTTGGTTAGCTTCTGAGTCAATTGTCTCCCAATAAAAACTGAATTAGCTTGTGGATCAGTTAAAATGCTTTTTTATGCAAATAACAGAAAACAACTCCCACTGACATCAGCCTGAATGGGGACTTGTTAGCTCAAATTACTGAAATATTCCTAGGTAATTATGGCTTTGGGGGAGTTTTAATTTGATGGTTTGAATGATTCATACTTTTATTCATTCATTTATGTGAAAAAAATATTTGGTGAGCACCTACCATTTGCCAAGTACTGTTCTAGGCACTGGAAATATAGCAGTTAAACAAACAAAGTCTTTGATTTCTTGGGTCTTCCGTATAAGGAAAAGGTGCAGACAACAAACAAATGCATATTAGGTAGTCACAGTGCCATGGAGAAAATACCTCAGCGTAGGGGAATAATGGGAACTGCTGTTTGTATAAGAGAAGCTGGCAATAGAATGAAGTAAGGAGGCTTAATGGGAATAGAAAGTGGGAAGGTACCCAGATCATACACTATGACCCAAGATATAAGATTCTTCTCAGAAAATATATCCATGACTCATTTTCAGACCTAGACAGCTTCAAAATAACCATTTTACTATAAAAGAACAATTAAACTCTAAAGAATAGAACTGACATTGTAAAACAAAGAAATGAAACAAAACAAAACCTAACTGTGGCCATTGCAGTTAATCATTTTTAGTGAAAAACAGAAGCTATGTTGCTTTATTGCTGAGTGGACATAGCAATCTTCATCCCTCTGGGACTCATTTACCTATAAAAAGGAGATGAGACAGACAGACAACAGTATGGTGGTTACCAGAGACAAAGGGGAGGGGGGTGAAGGAAGGTATAAAACGATAAAGGGGGTCAAATATATGGTGACAGAAGTGTAAGGACAGAAAAAAAGGCCTTTCTTTTTCTTTGCTGTAGCCTTCCACAATTTATGAGAAGCACCTGGTAATTAAACCCCAAGATTGTTAGCTCCTCTGATTCAAACAGCCCCTCTGTTCAAACTGCAAGACAAGATAAGCTACTCTCAAGGCTACAGTCTTGCATAACACTCCTCCCTGCTGTTTCTGCAACTCAGGGATAATTTGCCCCAAGGAGTCTCTAGTTGTAGAAAATTCCGTTATTCCCTCCCTTCAAACAGGCCTCTTTTGGACTCTTCATAATTTTTGCTCTAAGCATGTTTTATAGGTTTGGGGAAAATACTGAGAAGACACCTCCCTAGGACATCTGTCCAGACTGTCTCCTGAAAAACAAACTTCACTTCAGCCCAAATCCTCCTCCCTTACTTGTCACCTAGCAAGAGCAGCCTTACCCTTTAAAAGGGGAAGCTGCTTTTTGTTTCTTGTCCTGTATTGATTAGCAATGCACCGGCCCTTTTCCTTAGTGGAAAGTAAAATAAACTTCCTCTCTGTATCTCTTCTTTTAGTTGTGAATTCTTTCACAGCCCCTGTCACCTGCCCGACCCTAACAGGAAGGAGATTTGACTTTGGGTGGTGAACACACAAATGCAATAAATGTATTATAAAATTGTTCACTTGAAAACTACGTAATTTTATTAACCAATATCACTCCAATAAATTTAATAAAATTTAAAAAGAAGATGATAGCAGTTACTTACTTGTAGGGTTATTATCAGGATACATGAGATACAATAGCTCAGGCACTTAACACAATGCTCAGTAAATGGCAGCTATGATGTGACTCTAGATTCTATCCCAAGACTCAATAACCTCACATGTTCTTTGCCCATAAAGCAAAAGCAAGTACAATTATGTTTTTTGTTTGTTTCTTTGTTTTGTTTTCCTATAGATTTTTAAAATCTAAAATAGTGGAGATTCTTGATTCGTGCATTTAGGAAGTGTTTTTGAATCATGCAAAAAAAACACACCAACAACAAACAAACAAAAACACACATCTAAGATAATACCAACATTGTCTAACTTCAGAATAATTTCTTCTGGGTTCTCTGTGGTTTATGACTGCAAACATATTTCCATTCAAACTATTCAGTTGTTTCCATGTAAATGTCTAGAAATGTGACTCCCTACCTAAGCAGTGCATCAGAATAAACTATTGTTTTTTTAAAACACAGAAACACAGACTCTATCTCCTAGGTCCTGAATCAGAATCTTTAGGAAAGAGACTTGAACATCTAGATCCTTTAAAGCTTTCTGGATAATCTTGTATACAGCTAGGGTGGGAGATTATTGGTATATGACATCCTTTTAGGGCCCTTAAAACCTACTGAGGAATAATTTTACATAAGACAGTAATGTGGTCCTTTAATTGAACCAAGCATATAGTACCTTTTCAATCTTATATCTTAAGCTTAAACAGACATGCGTTATTTAAGGAACTACCACTTTTGTTAAAATGACTATCTAAGAAACAGTAATATAGCCCCTGATGGAACTGTTTTCCTAAGTATCAAAATTTTTCTATTATTCCAGAGAGCACTCCAATTTAATACCCAGGTTAAAAGCTCATGATTAGGCCAAACACGCAACAATTTACACAAACATTTTCCCCTTTATAGTATTTCTGTCTCTTCCATTATAACTCTGGGTTTTCACTGTGTACCTTAGATAACAGAGTCAGTGAAATGACAATGGAGAATTTTAATTCAATTCAGTGGAAATGGATGCTGAATTTACCCCATTGTTTAAGATGTGCCAGAGCATCCCTGAGGATACAGAGCAGGCTCCAGAGGCTCCTGTCTCAGTTAGAAGGACCACATTTTAACTCCCTACTTCTACTCCTACCTTATTATAAATTATTTTTTAGTCCCTTTTTCCAAAATAGTTTTCACCTCCTGCCCTTACTGTGAAGGCATTCAGAATGGAAGGAATATTTTCTTTCCACTAAACTAAAAGCTATACAACTCTCAACCAATTGCAAAGTATAATCTTATTTATTTTGTGCAGAAATCCAGTACCAGGATTTTTTGAAAAAAAAAAAAAAAAAAAAAAAAAAAAAAAAAAAAAAAAATCTGTCTTTACTAGAAAGTTTCAGTACAAGCACTGAAACTTTAATGTGATTTTGTAACCTGCGTTCAGAACTATATTACTAGTATTTCCCTTGGTGAGCTTTCCATCGATAGAAATCAGACCCCAGGGTAGACATGGGCTCTTTTTCCTCTGACTAGATATGGGAAAGTAGTGCACTTAATATTTTATAACCATCCAGTTCATGGATACATTTTCATATTCCCTGTCACTACAGAATTGGTTAGTTCCCTAAGAAATCTTTCAGGCAAGATTAATCTCCCCTCACGGAGGATGTGGGCATCATATTAAAATCAAGTCAGTCAACAACACAAGGCTATGTGGAGACCATGAAAATGATGCAATTTTCATGAAATTCTACTAACTTCAAATATCATTTCTACCAATGTATTTTATTTAGATCCTTGTGTGTCCAAGGTTAGGCAAAAAGTGAATAAAATGAAACAAAAAAATAAAGCAAAAATTTAGAGATTTTTTTTTTTCAAAAGAAGCCCTATGCAATTAACAGAAAATGAAAATCAAATAAAAATATGAAAGCATATTAAAAAGCATAACATAATACATAAAATAAAATATGATCATTTTTGTGATTGTACTAGTATTTGAGAGGCCACTGTGATTTGTTTAACTTAAAAACTTTTACAATTCACTGTGTATCTTCTGTATGGTAGAAGTGAAGCCGTGGCCACTTAATGTTGTACACGGAGAACTCAAAGTAGTAGAGAAACAAAAGCAACCCTTGGGTGCTCTCTCCCAGCTTCTGTGCTCACAGTGTGTCGTTCATCTGCACACAGTGTCACTGTCTCCATTTATAGTACAAGTGTATATTCTTGCTCTCTCACACCTAGACAAATTTTTCCCCCATCATTTTCTTGTTTTTAATTTCTTTTTTACCCAATTAGGAGATTTCTTGAAATAAGCATTTTGACATTTGGGTTTTTACATAAAGTAATACTCATTCTTGAATACAAGAGAAAAGCAAAAGAACTCACCCAATTATCTGCTGGGGAAGTTCATTTGTAACCCTTGTAAAGACGGGTGATCCGTCTGTCATAGTGTAGTATCCCATTAAAGAAACAGATCCACAACAAAGATAAATAAAAGTTACTCCTTTTCTCCCCCAACTTTTCTCTTAGGGACATTAAATGAGATCCAATTGTCCAGTGCTGTCCTTATTCACCCCTGATTTCTTTTTCAACCCATTTTCTTCATGGTTGCAGTTGCTCTAACTCATCTCTTCTAAACTTCCCTAGAAAGAAAATTTCCTTTACATCCCACTTTTCTGATCTCAGTACTTTATTATGAAGGTATTTCCTTTTTTTCTCATGTAGACATTTCTGCCCTTCTAGAAGGGAGGAGCAAGGGAGAAACATCTCTGTCCCTGAAGGTCATCTCTTTGGTGGGAGGAGTTGGTGATGAATACTCTTGCAATAATTCTTATGCCACCACATAGTATATATTAAAGTACAGCTCATTAATCCTGTTTAATTGACTTCCTTTAGCTAATATCCATTTGAGACTATTTCTTATGTGAAATAGGTCTATTCTCCCCATAATGAATACTAGAAACTTATCAACTGTAGACTTAGAAAATTCTCTATTCATTGATCTTATAAATTGTCATGCTATGAGTTTAATAAAACCTTGACTATATTTTTCTTTATGTGGAGAAGAGAAACAACTGGAAGCAATGCAAATGGAGAGTTGAGGGGAAGGAGGATGTCCAGAGACTGTTGAAAGAGCGATGATATGAGATTTTTGGCTCATGTGCCAGTTGTAACAGTTTAGAGAAAAGGATGAGGCATGTGGTAGAAAAGATAGAAAAAGGTTTAGTCACTGAACGGGTCCTCAGAACATAGGAGCCAAAACGAATATATGTACCTAGAGATATGAACTAAAGGAAAGTCAAGTATGAAACTAAAACAAGGAATTAGGGTTGTAACCCTTTCCTTAAATCCTGCTTTGAAAAACTACATCCAGCTAGAGAACAGACTTTTTTTCATCTTTGATAATATAATAGAGACAGGAATATTTCTCCCCCTATTATCGTTACCTTTCTTGTTTTCCAAGTAAAGCATTTGGTTTGCAATCAGGACTGGTAGATGCCCTGATACAATTCTTAATCAGAAAGGCTGGGTTCTGTGTAAGCTTTCCTTGTTGTTAGCTTACAAGGAGACTTGTTTGTATATGTTCCCAACGTGCACTCAACCAGTTGACCACACAAAGCAGGAGAAGGTGGACTTCATAGTCCTCCTAAATGACTGACTGGCAATAGTACTGTCCTGAAGAACATGCTCCCACACCTCCTCCTCCCCTCGATCTCATTTTTTATCACATCATTCACAGATTAGAATTGTGCACAGCAGACTACATCTCTGGTGAAAAATCTTGTCAGACAGAGAGACAGAACAAAAAGTCATTAAACAGGGATTTTTATGTCAAATTGCATTAGTGAAAAACAAATAAATGGCTCACCTTCACATACAATGGCTCTCTGAGATGATCGACAAGAATGCACGCTTTCTCCTCCCACACAGGATTGAGGTTCTTGTGTATTATTTTACTTCTAAAAACTTCTTTTCCTCCAATTTTAAACTTCACATATGGGTCACTTGTCCCTGATATAGAAAAGCAGATTGATCCATGTTAATTATGCCTTTCTATGGAGGCAAGAGAACAGCTCATCTACTCACCAACAAGTATTTCAAGGAATAAAAACAAAGCTTATCACCTGGAAAATAAGGGTTAAGAGTATTTTCCTAAATTTTTCCTGAAATATTAAAGTGACAGTCAATTATTTATTATAATAATTATTATTATCAATCTTCTATACTCAATACTATAACCCTGTTCTGGTATTTTAAAAAACTCTATTGCATGCTGCATATGTAAATGTAATTCATGTTATAAATGATAGAGATTAATCTGACATTCTCTTGGTATCATCTGGTTAACTCTAAAAAGGATGATCCATAATCTTGGCTGATTTAAATAGTTTTAGACTTACATATGCTGCTAAAATTTCATACTAGTTTAATGGGCTTAATTAGAAAAAGATGAGTCTCAAATTGGGCTTCAATTTCATCCTTGGTTCCATATTCTCTTTTGCTCAGAAGTTTCAGTTTCAGCATGTTGGGAAGGAATGAAGGTCTCAGAGGAAGGAATCAGGGGGAAGGGAGTAAATGTTTATGAAGTCCTCTCGAGATTATCCCTTAACATCTCCCAAGCTCCCAAAATAATAAAGAAAATCAGAGCTGTCAAGTAAGTTGCTTATGGACACACAGCCAGCAAGAGATGGTTAGGATTGCAACCAAGACTATTTGACTCTAATGCTTGTGCTTTTTCTACTACACCTGCAAGAGAGAAGGGCCTTTACATACTTACACAGATATACCATTTCCCATTTTGACTAATGAATGAGACCAGTCTTGGCCTAATGAGTCTATGTCCTTATTAAGAATTCCTAGAGCCCTGACCGGTTTGGCTCAGTGGATAGAGTGTCGGCCTGTGGACTGAAAGGTCCCAGGTTCGATTCCGGTCAAGGGCATGTACCTTGGTTGTGGGCACATCCCCAGTAGGGGGTGTGCAGGAGGCAGCTGATCGATGTTTCTCTCTCATCGATGTTTCTAACTCTCTATCCCTCTCCCTTCCTCTCTGTAAAAAAAATCAATAAAATATATTTTTTTAAAAGAAAGAATTCTTAGAGAAGGTGTATCATTAATGACCCCAAGTAAATTATTCCAGTGTGTGACAACCTTCATCTTCAGGAAATAATTCTTTATACGAGGCCCTTATAATAAAATTTTGTTTGATTTTTCAGTTTTCTCCCCAAACTGAAGTTATAGTTGGTAACTATGTCTATATGATTTAAAGGAAAGTATGAGTGGGCCTATGAAAACTGAAAAGCACCATATGAATATTAGGCATTACAATTATGATACTGATCTCCTTAAACTCACTATCTATATCCCTCCCTTACACTCCCCTAATCTCAATGACACATAAATATCTACGGTAAACATACGGTGCCTTATAGGATCTGGCTTTTCTTATTGAATCTCTTGGAGGCTCTCTCAAAACTCTCCATATTCCTCAAATAAATGTAATGCCTTTTTTCTTATGCACCTACTAGTAGACCTGAGCATAATGAAATAATGATCCCAATTTCCCATGCGAAATTCCCATTCGGGTAGTTTAATTTTATCATTATGGTACAAACTTTAAAAAATATTTATAAATGTAAATGCAGGCTATATCATCATAACCTGTTTTAATGTATTCTTTAGGGAACTCAATGCAATAAAAATGTTCAGTACTTAAAAATGACTATTATTAACAGCAGTTCCCAACTTAGGGCAGAGGATCCTGGGAATTGAGACTGTTGTAAAACATATATTGAGGGTTATTAAAATCCATGTACCCATTTGTATTTTCCCAGTCACGGCCTACATCAATTTATTGTCTTTCATTTTGAAAAGCATCGACATAACTGCTACTACCTGCTAAAATATAATAAGCTCTATAATACCAGAGCCTTTGGGGTCCCTTTTATAAGATCTTCAGTACTTAGTACAGAATCAGAACTTGTCATCATATCCATGATGCCATTTGAGGCAGTAAATATCCAACAGCCTGAAGAAATAGCAATCCAGCTAACAAGAGTAGGTCTAAGCATTAAGTTAAGGATTAGGGATAGATATTTTAGCCTGTGACAGCCACAAAAATCTCAAGGATTGGTATAATAGAAAGAGAAAGGCTGTTTTTAGGATTCTGAAAACAAGTTATGATGATGAAATATTTTATTAACGTGAAGATTTGGCCACAGGGTGACCTGGATTGGAGATAGTAGATATGTTAGCAAATTTCATAGTCTTAACTATAGGAGTGACAGAGTCATATGCACACTCATGGGCGCCAATCACCTGACTTTCCTCACTTTGTTTTCACTCCATGGGATAAAATGTGCTGTACTTCTCTTTGCAACCACTGATTAGCCCTCTGGGACGATCATTAAAATTTAAAGTTTTAATAGTCGTGTTTCTTTAAAATATTCTAATTGTTTTCAAGTTATTAACTTAGGGGACCTTTAGTGACTTAGAGTCCTTAATAGTTCAAAACCTTCAGCTTATGATTACAGCTTACAGAATTGGAAGACATTGTTTAATTGAGAGTAAAACTTTTGCATGTAATCTTCTATGTTTGAAAGTGCTTTTCCAAACTTATTTCAGCAATTTATTATCTGATAACATGAATAGATATTATTAGCATTAAAAAAAAGAGTTCTGTGGTCAAGTGTATTTGGAAAATGCTGGTTTAAAATAAAATTAAATGGATTTGTTTTCTATAGCTTTTAAAAAAATTTTTATTGTTGACACTATTACGATGTCCGCCATTTCCCCCTCTTTACCCACCTACACCCAGTTCCTCCCCTCCTTCCTCTGGCCTTCACCACACTGTTGTCTGTGTCCATGGGCCATGCATATATTTTCTTTGGCTAATCTGTTCACCTTCCTCCATCTAGTACCCCCATCCTCCCCCAATCTCTGTTAGTTTGTTTCATGTATTCATACCTCTGGTTCTATTTTATTTGTCAGTTTATTTTGTTCATTAGATTCCACATATAAGTGAGATCATATGGCATTTGTCTTTCTCTGACTGGCTTATTTCACTCAGCATGATAATCTCCAGGTCCATCCATGCTGTTGCAAAAAGTAAGAGTTCTTTTCTTTCTTATGGCTGCATAGTATTCCATTGTGTAACCCTACCACATCTTTTTTTTATCCACTCACCTACTGATGGGCGCTTGGGCTGTTTCCTGACCTTAGCTATAACACTGCTCTGAACATAGGGGTGAATATATTCTTTCTGATGGTTGTTTTGGGATTATTAGAATATATTCCCAGAATTAGGACTAGTCAAAAGGCAGTTCCATTTTTAGTTTTTTGAAGGAACTCCATACTGTTTTCCACAGTGGCTATACTAGCCTGCATTCCCACCAGCAGTGTATGAGGGTTCCCTCTTCTCTCCTCACCAACACTTGTCATTTGTTGATTTGTTGATGGTAGCCATTCTGACAGGTGTGAGGTGATATCTTATTGTGGTTTTAATTTGCATCTCTCTGATGACTAGTGATGTTGAGCATTTTTCATATGTCTGTTGGCCATCTGCATGTCCTCTTTGGAGAAGTGTCTATTCAGGTCCTTTGCCCATTTTCTTTTTATTCTAGCAGTTTTATTTCAGTGTGTGTTATCTCTCAATCATTTTTAATTGGATTGTTTTCTTCCTGTGTAAGTTCTTTTATATATTTTGGAAATTAACCCCTTATGGCCTTTCAATAAGTAAATGGGCTCTCCAAGAAGGGGACAGGACATGCAGCATTTACCAGACTTTTTTGACCATAGGGCCTACTTTTCTTAAGCTCATATTTCAAGATTAATAATCCCCTGTCTCTCTTTAGGAAATGCTACCTTACTATATTTTGTAGATCAGAAAGTTTCACATGTTTTTGGAGGTTCTTTTATTGTAATACACGTCCCAATGAAATCAGGGAATTTTATTACAATAACCCCTCCCTAATAAATCCAAGCCATTAACATGTGGTTAATCTCTAATAAATATATTATACCAAAATTTTTAGTTTGTTGGTATAAAAACAAAATACACAAAAAAACACAAAAACCCCAAAACAATAAATTCATGTGCCTGTGTTGATTTATTGCAATATTGCATTCAACCACGAGATGGCACTAACACTTATCAAATTCAAAGTTAAGGCATCACTACTGCACACTTGTTCTCATGCATTTTCCTGTGCTTTATTGTCATTAGCTGGAACATGACCCTCATAAAACATTTTTTATGGTAATAATGAAATTAAAACAGGCAAGTAAACATGGGAGAAGAAAATAGGAGGTGCTAGCCCTAAAATAAAATTCAGCCTTTTGTTATTAATGTCATATTCAAGAGCAACTTTTCAATATTCATTTTATCAGGTAGCGTTAACTTCAGAATTTATTTGTAAACATTATTAAATATTTTATTATTGTTAATTTCTTGCTTCAAAAAATTTAGAATATCAAGTGTTTATTTCTGTACCCTAAGATCAAATTGTTTAAAAAAGAATTATGTGGTTTATATAATGTAGGAAAAAATTACATGTCCCAATGTTATATTTCATTTTTATATTTTTTTCAGAGCCAGGGCTCTGATAAGCACTTCAACATTTTATGTGATTGGTTAGAACAATGGTTCTCAACCTGTGGGTCGCGACCCCTTTGGGGGTCGAACGACCCTTTCACAGGGGTCGCCTAAGACCATCGGAAAACACATATGTAATTACATATTGTTTTTGTGATTAATCACTATGCTTTAATTATGTTCAATTTGTAACAATGAAAATACATCTTGCATATAAGATATTTACATTATGATTCTTAACAGTAGCTAAATTACAGTTATGAAGTAGCAACAAAAATAATTTTATGGTTGGGGGTCACCACAACATGAGGAACTGTATTAAAGGGTCGCGGCATTAGGAAGATTGAGAACCACTGGGTTAGAACAACAGAACTAAATTTAAGTCCAACATTACTAAACTTTGAATGGGTCTCCTTTTGTG